GGTCCTTTCCAACCTTAGTGATTCTGTGTGAGAAGATTGTCCTTTAAGATTGGATACCTCTCCTCAGTTCCTGTTCCTCAAAAGGCAGCTTCCAAGGGATTTTGCCTACCAGGACTCTGAGCAAGCTGGAGTTTCTTCTCCTGAACACCATTGTTGTTTAGTTTGCTGCATCCCTCCTTGTTTCCCTCAGGATCTTTAGCTTCACCATCTCACAGTTGCTGGAGCCAAGTTTGCCTTTGCATACTAAATCTGGACAATCCTTCCTTGTTTGTGAGTTGTGCTAGCAAGAGCATCTTCCCTAGCTGACGGGTCCGGAACCTGTGTCAAAGAAGTCTTGATTGCAAAATTTGCTGGATTACTTGTGTCCTGCCTTACCACTCTCCAAGCAAGGACTGGGGTGGTAAAGTCTTTAGTGAGAGCCAAGGCTTGATATCATGTGATTCCTTCCACGTGTTTGAGTACAGTCCTCACTTTAGACTGGGACTTTTAAATATCTTTTCAAATGAAAAGATACATCTTATGATTTAGGATGTCTGAGTTGATTGAAGACTGGAAAATCATACAAGGAAAATATTGTTGATGCCTGCTTGTTCTTACCCTTTTGCTTGGTTATGCACCATTGCCAACAGTCAGAGAAAGGAAATAATGGGCAATCATGCCTTGTGCTTTGGCTGATGATGGATATTCTTATTTAACGACTAGCAGGGTATGAGCAGTGTATATGAACTCTCTCTTATCTGTTGTATTTTCTGAAAATAGCTGAGAGTCAGCTTTGCCGAGTCACTTCTTTGTGCTTGAATGGTGACCCTTACGGGTTGAGTTAGACCTTATTGGCTAATGTTATAGTTTGGAGTCTGTTCCAAATGGTTCCAGACTTAAAAGGCAGCTGACCTCACTCTGCTGAAATTATGGGGTAAAATTAAAAACCAGTGTGTATAGCGTTCATCCTTATCATTCTCCTTGAGTCTGTAAATCACAAAAGGCAGTAATTTCTTTAGCAGAAGGAGCAGGGGTGGGGAGGAAAGAGTAAAAGGTCAAATCTGCCATGTTGTAGACTGTGTGCAGTTCAGTTTTTAGAAAAGGTATATATTAAAATGTTCTTTTCATTGCCTTGTACACCAAAATTTTAGAAGATTAATCATGATATACTTCTGGTTTACTGCAGCCTAATTAGTCTAATAAAACTTCTGTTTTTCCATTGTCAGACTGCTATAATCACTAGTGTCTATCCCACCCAGCAAGTTTAGAACCCATCCCTACTTATTCTTAAGCAGTTGTTTGTCACAGGAGGTGCTAAGAAAATTGCTGCATTGGCAATTTGATTTCAGTAGATAAGCTGTAGCCCCCTTTACAGTTTTCTAAAACTTGAGATACTACCTTCAATAGCAACAGCTTGTTAAGACTTGGGGGGAAAAAAAACCACAACAGGACAAAGTTATAGCGGGTGCTTTTTTTTAATCTAATGGCAAAGCTAGGAAGAAGAAACGGGAAAAAAATTAAATAAGCATAATTTAAAGGCTAATATTCACAGACTCCCTTTATGTTATTTGAGGTAGAAACTCTCTCAACAAAATAGAACATCCAAGTTAGGTTCCTGCTCTGAATAATCCCCTGGAGAAGAATGTCTCTTATCTGATTTAGTTAAGATGATTTCTATATATAGATATATAACTTAGGTTTCTGTTAATATTTTACTTCTTATCCTTTCTAGTCTAGAGGGTTTTTTATTCCACAATGTGCTTGATATGTAATTCCGGTCACTATTGAGGTCCCTGTATACTCTTTATGAACAAGTTTCGCTATCTTCACTGATGTGGTTTTTATGGCTTTGGTTTGGTTGTGGGTTTGTTTTGTTTTGCTCTGGGTTTAGTTTGGACTTTTTTCTTTCTTTTGTAGCTTTACCAAGCCAATATAGTAACTTGAAGTACAGGGACCATCAGAGATGACAGTTCAGATCAGCAAGGGTGCTCTGTATAAACATGCTGTGTAAAAGGTTGATTGTAATCCCTGAAGAGTTTGCTGTGTAATTTCCTGCCAATTAACTATGTGATCTAGATTTTCTTTTGCTTTAAGTTTCATGACAGTTGTCAGCGAAATTGCCTTTGAGATGGCATTTGAATTTAGTGTTCTACAGTTTGCAGTATCATATCAGTTGTTCCTTTTCAAAGTCACAGAAGTTAGTATAGTTTTCTTCTTGTTAAGAATCGTAACCTTTTATTCTTGACCGAAATAATACTCCTGTATATTTAATAAAGGATGTGCACTATCCTAGTGTTACATTTCTTTGAAAAATTATATAATTAGATCATGATGGAAATAGGGCCTTTCTTTTCCCATTTAGCATAACTAGCATTGCAGTGACCATCCAAAATTGTCTGGAATTACTCTCAGCGTCTTGTGTACTTATAGATAACCTCCAAGACGAAAAGATTTGTAGGCTGTTTTTTCCCTGTCATGTAACATTTAAATGTTTTTTTTTCCCTTCTCATAGTGTGATGATTTTTTTGTTTGTTTTGTTTTTTAACTTTATAAATACTAAGATTGCAGGTCCTTATCTCTGTGCTTATATCTTGTCTTAGCTATTTAACTAAAACAACTTCTGGCTATATTTAAAGACATGTAAGAACATAGAGAAAAAATGTCTTTCAGGAATCAAGTGAAGTTCTTTTTTCGTATTCTAAGGGATAATGAAAGCAGTCTCAAAAAGAAAACATCTGGTTGGAATGACCTGGGGATAGAATAGCTCTTTGGACTTTGGAAGTGGGAAAAGATACTTAAATTAGCAACTGTCTTGGGTTTAAGATGGAAACAAGTAGATTTGATAGTTAACTTAAATCTATGTCATAAATTTCAAATTATACAAGCTATTTTATATAATATTTGATATCTTTTTGTCTATGGAAATGAAATGAAATCTGTTCTCTCTAGAAAGTATATTTTCAGCAGCTGTATTTAAACCTTTAACCATGACTCAGTATACTAAGTGTTTAAATATTGTGATTTCATTTTTTATTTAGGTTGAAGATTGTAAAAATTTCTTTTAAGTGCAAACAGTTTTTTATTCAACTTAGGAAAGAATTGGTGAGTACTGTCTTAAATTTCATTTCAAAAAATGAGAGCAATGAGATTTCTCCATACGGTACATCTGCATTATACTGACTGATATTATGTGGATTCTTGCCTTTATCTGCAATTGACAGTCTAGTTTCACCAACATTTTGGCTATTTCAGTTCTCAAATGGGCCATTACAATGCTTTATAACACTTTTTTCATTTGATTTGCCTTATATTTTAGATATGTTTAGTTTTACATTTGTATGCAGGAAATGTAACTTGCTTATGTCAAATGAATGTTGAAAAGGTTGAAAGTAAATCAATATTAAATTTAAATTTCAGAAGAAACCAAATTAAAATTAAAGGTAATGCTTAATGCTGCTTCAGTTGTATATGTGCTTGTAAGTAAATGTTTGATTAAAACATGCTGATTTATATTATTCAGATTTAGTAATACAAGTTGGCTTTATTACTTATATTTAAACAGAAGAGATAAGAATGTCTTTGCAGTTTTAAGTTACATATGGTTATTTTTTATGCCTACTTCTAAATTTGTTGGGGAAAAAGTTGAATTTCTGCAAAGAATGTGTATGTTTCACTGCTTGTGGTGTGTGTTTGCTACCCTGTGAAGCACCACAGGACCACTGCATGTTTAATTCAGCAAGAAATGGATTGTTCCATGCCTCCAAGAGATTAGTCTAAACCCATCACAGACATATCACTGGGGAAAGATGGAGGAATTAATTAAAAATATGACTATGTGATTAACTCATCAGATTAGTTAAAAGGTTTTGTGCAGTTCTTACAGCTTGAAAGGATCTGAAGACCTGAAATGCAGAGTTACTAGATAAAGAAGATGGATTCTAGGTAGAAATGCATCATGACTGCTATAGGACTATTCCAGATTTAGAGACAATAGGGTTCAACAAGAAAAGGGAGACCACACCTGTTATGTCAGATCAGGCCAGTGACTGGTGACTAGTACTGGTACTGAAAACAGGAGTCAAACTGTGTATCTTAAAAGCACAGCCTTTAAAATGTGTCCCAGGAGTTTGTAGTTTTCATAAATACAACTACCAGACCACATGCAGACACTTCGTTGTGTATTAGTTGACAGGAGAAGTTTAACCTGTGTATTTGGAGCAGCATGAGTAGCTATCAGTTCAGGAGTAGGACAGTAGTGAGGATAGGATTAGTAGTACAAGAGTGAGAGGATTTGAGGGTAATTATGTGTGGAAATAAATGAACTTTGGCTATTACATGAAATAAATGGGAGTACCTGTCAATGTGAGCAGATATCATGCAACGTGAGCAGAAAAATGGTGGTGATACAAAAAAGGGGTGAGGGGTGGGGAATATTTCATCATGGTGACACAGGTATTTCTTAATACACTACAGGAGCTATGGGCTAGTTCTCAAAGGCAAACTGATCTCCGACAGCCCAGAGATCAAATTTTGTCTTGATACCAGTGTGTGTAACTTTCATTACAGTTGCAGGAATGTTGTATTTAGCTCTGAGATGAGAATTTGGGTTTTCATCTGGAATTCAGAACTGCAGGTTTTTTCTGCATCAGAAAAGGAAAAGGCTGTAGTAGCAGAACTTGGGACCCTGAAGGCTGAGATACCTAGATGTAAAATTGGATTGACTACTGTACTTGAGTGCTTTCTCTATTTTCTGCACAAAAAAAATTCTGCGTATAATTGAATGTAACATAAAGATAGCTTTCTCATCTTGTTTTCTATGGCTTTTTAATACTCTGCATATTGTTACTTGCACCAGAATGTAGTATGTGTAACTAATGTAATTTCTCTTCTGAGACATCTTAGCCAAGACAACAAATTAAAAAGCCTCATACTGTTTTTCTTTAAACTCTACCTATCAGATGAAAACTGATGGCAAGAACTTAATTTTCATTCATTCCAAGTCATGAATATCTTAAGATCAAAGCTCAAATTTGGCTTCCAAAGAAGGCATAGTTAAACTAATTTTTTAATCAAACCTAATATTAAAATTGTTCTTTTCAGAGTTACTTCCCCTGAGTAAACTCGTAGGATTAGATTCATCTCACCTATATTCAGCTTCAGTTAGGTTACAAGAACATATTTTCTGTTTCATGAAATTAGCTAACCAAAGCTTATAATTAGACTTCCTCTATAGTAACCAGACACATGCAAAGGGTGACACATCTTGCATGAATTGGAAGTATGTTTTAGGATGGACTAGCTTGCTCTGGTGGTATATGCTTACTTTTGCTTTCACTCCCGTTAACAATAAAGGGAGCCTAAATGGCTCTTTTCAGGCAGCAGAAACTAGGTGAAGTGACTCAGTGATTGTACATTTGGTATGTAAAACACCTCTGGTCTCAGGCTTTGAGTGTATATTTAAAAGCACTGATTTATGATATGGCAGTGAAAATACATTCATGGTATTCCAGTGATGTGTTTCAAAGTTGTGTGTAAATATATAACAAATTGTACAGCTGAGTAACCATATTTGTTTGGATGCAAAGCTGAGATACTCTAGTCTATTAAATTAATGGATTTTGGAGGGGGATTTTCCACTGTTCATATTTTTTCCAAACTCGGCTACATATGCTTTTAAGTAGTCCTAAACAGATATTTTTCAAATACTGTTAATGAGTGTTGAGAGCAACTGTCCTCAAAAGTGCAAGTGCCTTATCTTTTAATCACCTATTAAATTTATTCCCTGACTTGGCATTGCTTAGAGGCATCAACAGAAGTAAAGAATTATTTGCCTACTTTTAATAGATTATATCTGTGTTTAAATAAATCACTTAAAGGAAATCAGATGAAACAGTTTAATGTCAAAGTCATTTTCCACTGGTAGCATAATATAATACTGAAAGGAAGCTGGTTGTGTATTCTAACAATTATATAGCTGGAACATGCATCCACTGGAGTAGATTTTCTTTCCATTGTTTCTTTATGATTTTGTGGGGGGAAAAGAATGTTACGTGTATGACTTCTTAATCCAACATTAGAAGCCCTCTCAGCCATAACTTCAATGGCAGGTTTTTCACCATATTTTTGTTTATTCTGCCTGTTCCATATGCTGCTTCCCCTACATGCTTTGAAGCTATTTGGGAATAATCCAGTAGTTTCATTTTTTTCTAGATGTTTCCCTAAGCTTCTCTGTTTTTACTTAGTTGCACCCTTGTCTGTGGTAATGCCAGTAGTCAGCATCAAACTCTTAATGCTGTCCAGCATACTTTAGTCGTCTTGATTCTTCGACAGCCAAATAAGCTGTTTGGCATATTCTTTTGCTCTTTTAGAACCCAGATGTCCACTGAAAAATTACTCAAGTCTGTAACAAAACAGTATCATAGGTTTTATCCATGAGCAAGACTTGGTTTCAGTGAGTGGCCAACTTTTTTTTTTTTTTTTTTTTTATTTATACACTATGTATCTGGAGTTTGTGGTTTGAATTTTTTCTTATTAGTGACCTTTAGAAAAAATTTGGGCCAGAATCACAAGGTGATATATGGGTTTATCTGCTTACATACTTGATCTTAAGTAACACTGGCATTCATTAGATGCCTAGTTGATTGTTGCCTAATCCTATCCAAGTTTCTGCCATTGGGTTTTTGCATGAAGAGCAGATACTGTTGGCACAATCTGTGTTGCATTTAAGTTTCCGCAGGACTTTTCTCCACTATTTGTAGAATATCTTGAGTCTCTGGAGCATCTGCCGCTTACAAAGCGCAAATCTTTTTGTCTCTCTGAGATGGAAGTGGGGAATTTTTGCTTTGTTCTGGGATTTTTCTTTGTTTAGGCAAAGTGAGACACCCACTAGAGAATATGTTTTTTCAAGCCTCTTTCTCTCTTGAGCAGTGAGAGAAGTCCCTGTTTCAAATTGGGCAAAGGTGGGTTTGAATGAATGTCCCCACCCAAGGTGAACGTTTAAGGGCTGAGCTGTTGTATGTGAGGGGGCACCAGTATCCATTCTGCTTTTTTGGTTTTTGTCCTTTTAATAAAAAGAACCACAAACATGACTTAGACTTTACTTTGCCCTATTCCTCCAGTGTTTCTTCTTGGATTCTATAGGTAGCCTGCCACATGGTGTACCATTGTAAAGTTATGATTTAAATTAACTTACATGGTGGTGTTTGACTTACCTGTAGTTTCATGCTTGGGCTCTGGGTCTCATCACCAGTATTGCATTCCAGCTGCTTCACTCTTTTCCCGCTCCGTAACAAGCAGACTGTTTTCTTCTCTTTAATAGGAACCCGGGACACAATTAGAAAGATAGTAATTTCAGAGCAGAATCCAACTGTGACTCTCTGAGGTAGTCTTCTAACACTGTCTCAACAGACCTAAAACCCTGAAATACCTGTATGTCTGTGTCATACCACAGAGCATTCAACATCTTCCTGGAGCCTTGTGCTATAAAAACATTCTCACAGGCTGCTGTTATTTTATGCGCTTTTGGCTGAGGGTACTATGGACATTATAAATGTTGCCTTGGGGTCTTACACTGAGCCCACATTGATTCAAACCTGTTTTCAGGGAGAACAGGGGCAATCTTATTCTAAATCCAGCTACCAGACAGCAGTAGAACCAAGGCTTGCACCCCAGAATCATCAGCAAAGATGAATTTCAAGTGCCCAACTTACATTTGAATATTACAGAACCTGCAAGGACGGATAGGAAAAGGATGGGTGCACTTAGGAGCCAATATCTTGTGCTCTTCCTTACCTTAAAGATTGATTTCTAGCTGTAATTGAGATGAAGGGTAGGGTTTGAGAATCAGTTCTCTCTGCACTGCAATAAAAGCCCTAAAAGCTATGAATAGAACTATTGTTAAGGTACCTTTAAAGCTCTAGCTCACCAAGTTCCTGTGAAAGTGCTGTTTCGCATTACAATTAAGCTGATGTAGCTGCAGCTCCTTCTCTTCGGGATACCAGCTCCTCCTTCATGCTTCATGCCTGATCTAGTGATCAGATGGTGGCATGAGAATCAGATCAGCTTGTTCTCCAGAATACAAACTAGGGGAAACAGCAGGATTTTTTTTTTCCTCCAACACATAATTCTAATATTTTGAGTGACATGAAAATGCGTGATCATCAGCTCATATAACTTGTCAAATTCTCTTTTACAACAGTGTAAAAGGCTGACAGAGCATTAGAATTTGCTACACCCTGAGAACTTTTTATTGGAAACTAAAATCTTAGCTGATTTGTCCTTTACTGGATCCAGATGAGGCAGTACGTAATTTTACATAGTTGCTGTCTTGCAGAACAGCAATGTATCTTCTTTATGTTATTGTATATTTACATTGTTCATAAAGCTTTTTTTAACTGAATAGGTAATGGACTTAATTTCTGTTACCTTGTTTGTGACTTTTAATTTTTAAGTACTTCTGTTAACATGTCTGGAAAATACAGGGAACAGTTCGCAATACTTGGAAATTAAGGAAAGAAATATAAGTAATTTTTGTAAATTGAAATAAAATATACGGTTTTAGTTTCTTGCATATAATTTCTTGAGTTTCGTCAATAGATACTCAGAATTTGCTGTTTGGTTTTTTAAATCCATTTTATTCTTTACCCTAAATTTATCGTGTGGCTGAAAATACAGTGTTGTTCTTAGCCGTTAGTCACAATAACTTCCCAAATGCAACACTGGGAGAGAGTTGCAGTCTATGTCCCGGTGTCTCAGCAGATCTAAAGATGAGCAGGTCAGCAGAAGCAGAACTTGGAAAGGAGATTATGCTAAGTGAAAACAGTTAAGGTGTTCTAAATATTATGGGGGATTTAGTACTGTGAAGAGAAAGCAGCGTGCTGATGCTTTCTGACCTACAAAGGTTGTAATCAAGCTCCCTCAACAGGCAGAATAGTTTAGCAATTTTGCTTCTTCCCTTTACCAGGAACCTAATTAAGTATTTAGAAGTAGGCACATCAGTTGCTCTTGAGATCAAGATCTGTTCCCAGTCTCACACTGGCATGTGTGCATGACAGTTCCTCACCTTAACTGTAGTAATCTTGAAACAGAGAGGCATGTTGCCTTTGAGTTCTTGAACCATAGAAATTTTTTAGTGTAGTTTGGGTCCTAACTTTTGGGACTGTTTCTTCCCATCTATACTTGTTTCAGTATCACTAAACAGCCAGTTTGAGCAGGCTCATTTAAAAAAAAGAAAAAAAAATCCTTTAAAGAAAACTTTGATGTATTTTAAAAGAGTTTATACTATATAATGTTAACGTAAAAATAGATAACTGATTCAAAAACCATAATAAAAAAACCTCACAAAGCTAACAGTATTTATCTTAATTTCAGAAGTAACTGGGAATAATTTCTTTCTGAAATAAATTTTTCTCATTTTTAGCATGAATCTAGAGAAACGTTACTGGGATTCAATATGGTGAATTACCGAGCATGTAAGAATTTGTGGAAAGCTTGTGTTGAACACCACACGTTCTTCCGTTTGGACAGACCACTCCCCCCTCAGAAGAACTTTTTTGCACATTATTTCACTTTGGGTTCCAAGTTCCGGTACTGGTAAGTATATTTGAAATATATGGGAAAGAATGTAAGAGAACAGGCAACTCATCAATAAATGTAGGAAATTATTTAGAATTTATATGAAAAGGTGCCATAATTCAAGTGGCTTTTGAATCCTGCAACTGTTCCCCTCCCCTGTTGACCTAAGTGTCAAATGTTGACAGTATTTTTCTAGGATATCTTAGAAATGTAATTATTGCATTGTTATCAGTTGTTATTGAGCTAGTACTCTGAGATTGCCTCACAGGCTGCATTTGTTCGCCTGCTTACCTGCTGGGTTATGTTTATCTTAAAAATGTTGTCTCAGAACTTCAAAGTTTTTGGCCTGGTGTTTTTGAAAACTGATGGATCTCAGATCTTGTGTGCAGCAACAGCAACAAAACAGACCTAAATAAAGATCAAACAGAAATCAATGAAAAGAAGCTTGTACAAGTAAAGCCCACTTAAGCTAGATGCATACAAAGAGGCAAGTGATGAAAAAAACCATACATGTTCTGCACCAAAACCAGAAGTTTAGAAAATAAGGATGAAATTACATCCATAACTTTTGAGGATGAACTTGACATAATAAGCAGAAAGCTTGGACGTGCAAAGAATGACTGTGGAAAAACTGTAATTCCCAAGTATAACTTCTGTTCTAATGATGCAGTGTGTGATGTTGGTTTTTAAAGTGTTTTGTGCTTTTTATTAAAAAAAAAAAAAGTCTCGGTTAAGTAACTGAGTTAACTGTCTCTACAAGTAATGCAGAATGCTGGTGGTTTAAATCGTGCATGAAGTAGAGAATAATGGAGCTACTACTAATCATCTGTCTAGAATGGCAACAGTGTCTGTGACATAGGCAGATGATGAAAAGCTAGAAGACACTTTAACAGACTCTTTCTGTTACACTTGTGAATTGCATAAATGTATAAAGAAGAAAGTAATTCAGAGGCTAAACTTTTATACCATCTGTTTTTTTGACCAGCATTCACAGCATCCATTTGAGGAACAGCATTCTGTGATCCTGAACAGTGTTTCAGACTTGGTTCAATGTCACTGTGGTGAATTTGAGGGAGGTTTTTCATTTCTGTAAAGATTTTGAATTTGAATCATTGTGGTTACTATTACAGAATAGCTCTTCGATGATGACATTCAACTTACGTTAATGTAAGATGAAAAGGGAAACTCTTATCAAAATGAAGAAGGTCATTGAAGTTAATGAGGCAGCCAAAAGGCTAGCATTTCTGCAAGTAGTTTGAGAGATTGTTTAGAGGCAGCATAATAGTGGCACACAAGGAGAGGTTAAGGGCACTGGGCTTGTTTAATCTGGTGAAGAGGAAGCTAAAGGGGAATTTAGTAGCAAGCCTAAAGCTATTTCAAGGGCAGTTTCAGAAATGATGGAGTCAACCTTGTGCTGGTAGTGGCAGGTGACAGAACAAAGGGCACCAGCCACAAATTTTGCCTTGAAGATTCTAGGTGGACTTTAGGAAAGTATTTTGTTTTTTTCTTTTTCTAGGAGGATAGTGCATTACTGGAACAAGTTACCCAGAGAGGTTGTGGGATCCCTATTTTTGGAGGCTCTCAAAACTTGGCTAGACAAAGCCATGGACAGACATGACCTAGTGTTAGCAGGAGATTGCACTACAGACTTCTCTCCAACATTTCTATGATTAAAAGGAACGAATAAAATACTAAACTGCTAGGGCTAGACAGAATTATCTCCAGTTCTGAAAGAAATCAGAGACATGAAATTGTTGAACTATTAAGTGTGTTATGTAATCTATTATTTCCATTGGACTAAAAGGTTCTAGTGCAGAAAATTTGAAAGCAAGGTATTTAAAAAAAAAAAGCTTACAGGAGAGTTCAAGACGACTGCTGAAGAGAAAATCTGACTTCTGTACACTGTCCTTGGATTTTCAAAGTGGTTCTAATGATATTCCTCACCAAATACACATTAAAGAAGTTAAACTGCCAAAACAGGGAGAGTTTTATTGTATATTAGCAACTGTTTTAACCAGAGGGGAAACAAGTAGGTCCCTTCTTCGCAACAAAGGGAAGTTACCACTGAAATGATGCAGGTTTTTGTAGTAAAAGCTGAAGTTGACTGTAGAAAGTTTCGGTGGTGTGTTGCAATGATGGGTGAGCAGGCAATAAAATGGTGGATCAAGTTCCGTGTCCAAAAAACGTGAAATAATATACACAGGGAGAGAAAAGAGGAGGAACATCAGTTATAAATAAGCTATTACTGTCTTAGAGCTTTGTAGTTAGTTCTCTGAAAATGTTACATCAATTATTAGTAGCAGTTAGAGAAAGGCAAATACATTAGAGTTATTGGAAAGGAATAGAGGAGAGTATAGATGGCTTAATGCTTGTCAGAGTTAAAAATATATAACTCCAGGAAGTTAGCATGCAGCAGGTTTGAAAAGAGATTTCTTAGAATTGCAGTGTGGCAGAAGTTGGATGGCAGCTCTGGACACTTGCCTAGTCCGATGCCCTGTTCAAACAGGGTCCACTACAGCAGGTTGCCTAGGACTGTGTCCTGCCAGGTTTTGAATGTCTCCAATGATGGAGACTCTGCCCCATCACTGAGCAACCTGATCCAGTGGTTGACCACCTTCACAGTAAAAAAGCTTTTTGTTTTGTGGAGTTTTGTTGTTGTTGTCGTCTTTTCTCTCTCTGTTTAACTAGGATATCTTGTATTTCAATTAGTGCCCATTGCCTCTTGTCCTGTCTCTGGAGTCCCTTGAGAAGAGTCTGGCTGTCTTTTTTTACTTCTCCCTTTAGGTATTTATATGCACTCATTTCATCCCCCTGAGGGTGGACAGGTCCCACCGCTCTCAGCCTCTCCTCATATGTCAGCTGCTCCAGACTTAGTTGTCTCTGTGGCCCTAGAACTTGACACAGCACTGCAGGTGCAGGTCTTTACATTTCCCTTCACTGGATTTCATGAGATTCCAGTTAGCCCATTTCTCCAGCCTTCACACATCCAGCAGTTCGGTAATATGAATATGAAAATAGCTAATTATTCTTTGATTTCATAGTGTAAATGTCCCTGTAAGGGACAAAAAAGAGCAGAGGTTTAAGTATCAGTTTTCTTTTAGGACAGGTATCCTCTGACTCTCTGCCTTGGTATGAAGTTATAAATGGGGAAGTAGCTGCAAGAGAGAGTTTTGCTGGTATTTTGCCACCAATTCCTAACTGCTGATAGGCACTAATTTTTTTAAAAAACATAAATTATGAAATAATATTTCCTATAATTATGAAATATAATTATCAATATAGAATCTTTGATTTGACACAAGACATCTGGTCTTACCTGAAAAGTCAGCAAGTTCTAATCTTGCTTTTGACAAGTTGCATAGAAGAATACAATCCTGATGTGCTTGTCATCCAATTTCTTCATCATGTTTTGCTGAACTAAGTAGCAGCTAAGCTATTAGCAACACAGGGAATAGTTTAGGAGGAGTACAGAGGAGATGCTGTAGCTTTTGATTGTGGCTATGACATGAAAGATTATACTGTTAACTGTTATCCAAAGATCCAAGCAGAACTTTCTTATTGCTTTGGATAAGAAGAGAAAGCTTTATTTTATCCTTGAAATTAATGGGTCTTTGTTACAGCTGAACTCTAATGGGGAAGAAAACCTACACTTACCCAAATGCTGTCTAAACTTACACTGTACTGAAGCTAGTGCAATTGCTTAAGCATGACTGAAAATAGAATTTTTTGTTGTTGTTGTTGAGATGGTTCAATTTCAAGCAAGAAATTGTTACTCTAAGTTTGTTGCATTTAGTGGTTTGGTTTGGTTTTGTTTTGTTTTCCAGCGGGAGAACAGAGGTCCAGTCTGTGCAGTATGGTAAAGAAAGAGCAAACAAAGACAGGGTATTTGCAAGGTAAGCAATTTACATTTGTGCAGGATCAGTAAGTCTTCTGTTTGTATCTTTTAAGATGTTACGGGATCATTGTTTTCTATTTGCAAAAATGGAAAATAAAGAGCAACTGTTGTTGACTGTTGCTGATGGCTTCACTTAAATCTATTAAGGAGTTTAATTTTAATATGGGAGAGTGTCTCTTTGGGGCAGCCAGAAATGGGGGAGAATCTTATGATGGAAAAGTTAATAAGGGTATTCTTTAATATTTCCCACTTTATATATTTTCAAAATTCAGAATTGCCATCCATCTGTGCAGTTTGTTGTTACATGTACTAGCCCTGTCTTTATGGAGAAGAATGGTCTCTTTATTCCATTAAAATACTGAGTTATTTGGTATGTTTTATCACTGATAACAACCTACAACTGTACGTACTTCCTTTAGAATAAGGTACTGTGAATGTCTGACCCGACGAGAACAGCTTTATCACTATAGTCCCAATGAAGTAATTTACTATGAAAAATTTGCCTGCGAGTGAACTGTTTCTGAAAGGTATTCTGTCACAGAGTAGTTGGCTAATCGTAGAATCTATTACTTAATTGTGTTTCAGACACTTGAGGGGTTTAGTGATTACAAGAAAACAGTCAAGAGATAGATATAGTTCTTCATTCAGAAATTATGATACAGTATTCAAAGGTAAAACTGCTGCTGCATCCATTTGGCAATCTGCTCTGATCATTGAGAGAAAGAATCCTTAGGAGCAGGGAGCATGCTCCATGCTTTTTTTATGCTTATATTTTTACTGAGATGGTGAATATCTTTTAGCATAGTTTCCCCTTAAGGAACTCTGGAGTTCAAATTTATGCTCGCAGACTTTTATGAACAAGGCCGGCAACCTTTCTCAAGTACTTGCAAACACTGTTTTTCAGAGCATTGGTGAATTCTGCCTTGATTTCCTGTTCCCCCACTCCCCCTTCTCTCTTCTTTCCCCCAGTGCAAAATAATATAATTTGAGTTTTCAGCTGGGCACACCATAGACACCCAGCACCATATTACAAGGATTTGAGGGCATAAGTGCTGTGACATGTTTGTTCAACAGGTAGATTTTTATAAGACCAATTTGTTCTGTGTGCTTTTTTTTTTTTTAATTCTATTTAACTTACTTTGGGAATCTGGTTACATTTTTACTTGGGGCAACTTTTTTAGTGCTCAGAAGACTCAACACTGTGACAACTGAGTTTTTTTTATTTAAATGACAGTTATGAATCAGTTAAAAGCTATTTTTCTTGTTGCACTCTCAACTTGGCAATTCCCCACAAGTAAGTAGGGTGGAGGAGAGTTGATAATTGGTTTTGAGGAGTATATTTATCATTTTAGAACTCTTATTCAGTAGATGGCAGTCTTCCCTTTGAGTCAAAACCAAACAAGTGGTGCTGGGGTCCCTTGTATTTAGTAATATACACTCTCTATAAAATTGAAAGCCATGGCTAGAATTGCTCTGACGCTTTCTCAAGTCTTTTTGGCTTTTTTTAGTTAAATAAAATACTTGGCTCTTCTGTCCTGAGTAATTTTATTTTCCACTGTTGCTTTTAGATTAAGCATTCATCCTCACCTTTTGAGTCATTTAGTAATGTTGATGACTGATAAATATCTGAGGCATATATGTGTACCTTAGTAAACTGAAATTAATGGCATATTGTAACAAATGCACCTCGAAAGGCTTTTAATAGATCACTTGTTTCTTTCTCTGTCCTCCCCATCACAGTGTGCAAAACTTTAAATTTATTTTTTATAAAGACTTTCAGTAGTATTTTCAAGGGTGACAGAACTTGAAATATAAGACATTTCTAGAACACCACATGGTTCAAGAAGCCTAATCTAAGAACATTATATTTAATTCCTTGTCTTCTAAACACTTATGTTTCCAGTTGAAATACTGAGTAGATGTTAACCCTTTTGTATTCATATGAAGGATAAATTTTGCATTTTAAGGTTTTACAGGTATAATATGATTTTTGTTCCTGGAACCTGCCTTTCTCAGTGTGTTTTTCTCAAAGTCATCATGTTCTTGAACAGCTTTTTAAGCTGTCAAGCAGCTGGCTCATTTCGGTTGCTTTTGAAAGTTCTGCTGGGTATTGGTTGCCTTTTGCTATGAAACCAGGAGCATGCTAGCATTACAGTCAGGTCTGTCTTGAGAATTAAGTGGACACATAAATTTAAATAATGACTGTTGCTTTTATTATTACCACACCAGAAGATTTATTCAAGATCAGTTAAAAAAAGATGGTTTTAGTTTTCTTTTTCTCTAGAGCTATCCAGATTTACACTCTGTTTTTCTTCAATATCTAACTAGAAACTGCCTTATTTGAGCTAATACTGTCTAAGCAAACTTTTAAATAATTTAATTGTAAGAAAATAACACTTGATAATTACACTGAGATGTTAATTGAATAATCTCTTTGTTCTAAGTTGGGAAATGGTGATTGCCACAAGTAATGATCATCTAGCCTTTGCACGCTGAGTGAAACATAGATGTAGAGCACAAGACATGGAAATAAAATTTCTTTAACAGCCATTTGAATAAAACAAGCAGCCTCCAATTAGCAGGCTTAGCTGTTTGTCCTCAGGTTTTTACTTTAAAATTAGCTGATGTAGTATTCATGGATTATTTTTTCCTTCCAAATCATAAAAACATTCAAAAATTAATCGAAAAAAAGGGAATCTATTACTGTGAAGGAGGTAGTCTGTAATAAATTTTATACATTTTTAGATGCTGTTTTATTAATCTTCATGCAGCATGAACTTTAGCATTTAGAAGATTGTTGCTGCAGCTTAGATTTTTTTTTTTTTAATCTTCATTACAGCTGTTCTCTTGGCCTCATTTGTTGTAGGATATTCACAACCGAAGAAAGCCCGAAAGAATTCCCAGGACCATATTAAAAGTGAAAGTAGATAACAAAAGTGAAAAAAGTTTAAGTCATGAACTGAAGAGATTTCTTACAGCACTCTTGTCTCTTAGAGTCCTTGCAAAATACTGTAATTCTGTTCAGTTCTGATGGTGTGTACTAGAGCTGAGAGAATATAGTTTATGTGCGTTGCATGATAGCGAGTGGGTATCTCAGTCATTTGTATTTGCAAACTCCCTAACACTACGTTGCAATCTCTGTTTCGAAAAATCCAGTCTTGCTTCAGCCATGCATTTATTCAAATTAACTAAATAATTCTTCAGTTGCTTTAAACTGTGTGTGTCATTTGTGGTGTATCTGCAGCTTTGTATACAGTTTCAGTCTCTCGGCCTGAAGCAGTAGTCACCAGTTTTGCTGAGAAATGCATTCCCTGTACTCCTTGTCAAAATGCAAAAAAAGGCTGTGGCTCCAGGTTATATTTCTTTTTGGGACTGAAATTATTTAAAAGATTCCCACCTGTATTGCCAAACAATACCTTCTTTCTTTCCAAGCTCCTGTGGGAATTTAGCATTTCAGCTGTGGGATGCAAAACAAATTCTGGCTTCAAAAGCTTTTCTGTACTGTAACTTGAGCTAATATGATTTGTCATGCTTTTTTTTAGTTGCATTATGTAATATCATCCCTGCTAATCTTTCTTTTTTTAAAATTTATTTTATTTGATGCAGTATTGCAGTTTGTAAGACTATTCTTGATTTGGGGGGCAGGAAAAGTTTTTGGTCTCTGTCTCTACTCAGATAGATAGGGACATCAAGTTTTTTAGGAATGTCTGCAGATACACCAAAAATTAAATCTGAAAAAGAGTTTATTCTGTTAACTAGCAGTGCCCTGTGCTGGGGTGCAACAGAAGCATGCAGACTGAGCAGACAAACATGGAATTTAGAATTTCAAAATTTATCAAAGCATTTCAAAAGGTTTTTACAGATTATTCTCCCCCTTGCCCCCACCCCCCGGCCTGAGTTATTTGACTATTGTAAGGAATTAGTGATACAGGAGAAACCTGCGGGCATATTTCACAACATATCTTAAAAGTTAATAAAAAAATAACTTATTGTTAGATTTAGAAGTGTTAGCAGGAGAACTAGCATCAAAAAACCACAGCACTGAGAAGTTCGGTGCTGCAGTGTGGTAATTTTTTCTTTGAAATTTCTGCAAAGACAGGAAATAGAGGCAACAAACATGAGTGGGTGGGACTCTGAGGTTAAAGCTGTTAATAAAATAATTGAAACGAATCTTTGCTGATAAACGTTGCAGCTGTTTATCATGGTAGTAAGGTATTATTTCTGAAAGATCAGACCCTATCCACAGTAAAAGGTGAGTTTTCTTAACATTGGATTTTTTTGATAGGGAAGAAAGTGATGCTTCTCATTTATAGAGTTATGTTCATTTGTTGCATAGATTGAGGAAGTTTTCAAAAATGTGACTTAGGATACAATGTGGTGGCTTTTTTTGAAGCAATCAAGAATTTAATTTTTAAAAAACTTGTTTTGTTCCCTCCCTGTATATTTTGTGTGTCTCTTTGTAATTTAGTTTGTTTTATACAGGCAAGGATAGTGCCCTTTCACTGTTGTTGCACTTTTTTAAAAAAAAAAAAACACCAAAAACACAAAACATAACAACAAAACAAACCACCAACTTTCCTATAGCCTACTTGTTGCTTTTTCACTGAAGGTAAATAAGGTTCAATAGCTGCCTTTACATGTCTGTCAGAAAATACTGTATCTGCAGTCCTGTATTTACCTAATCTAGCATTGGGTATATTGGGTTGCTCTGCTTTTTTCCCTCCGTCCATTCTTTGGTTAGTAGAATCCACCTCTTGACGCTAATCTGTTGGCTGGAAGAGTCAGCAAAGGCTAGCTAGTGATAGCTTTGATGAGTAAATGAATAATAAATGGAGAAGATTAGACCTGCATTTCAGTTCTGCTGGTTTCTTGTTATTTTACCTGTTCAGAACTGGTCAAATTTGCTATATTTGTGAATAAAAGATATGTAAGTGGTTTGAGTTGCTCACATTTGAAGCAAATTACAGAAATTGAAATGTTGGTTTAACTGATATGATATCAAGCCCATTTCTTTTGAATCAAGTTAATACTACTTGGAATATATGCTAAGAAACCAGATATGTTTTTCCTCAGGAATTAAATAATTTATATTTTCCCTGTGTTCAAATATCAATATACCATTAGATTTTTCTTTTCCCAAGTGGAATAAGACCCAAAAGAGTAGTATTTCGAACAGCCCATCTTGCTTAACTGTCTGAAATTTGTCAGCTGTTATTCGCTAAGCCTTTAGAGCAGCAAAGCAGTCTGCAATACATGTTCAGAACTGCTTGGGGTTGTAAAACCAAAAATAAGTCCTCCGCACACCACTCCTTTAGTATCAAACAAACACTCTTGACATTAATAGAATTTATGTATTTCCGCATGTGAAGATAGATTATTCAATATGACACTTGGTTATTGTCGTAGACTTTTTTGATAATATTGAGGACAGTCTGCTTAAGGTGGTGGCTTGCATTGAGTTTTAAGTTCTGTGAGAAGAAAAATTTATTGGTAACTCAGGTTCTCATTTTCAGAAGGCTGTAATTGGTGTGTGGGTAGTTCCTTAATTTCTCTAAGTTCCTTATTCCTGGACTTGCGCTTTCAGTAAATCAGTAAGGTGATGATGATACAAAGATCAAGAACAGCTACGATGTGTCCCGAGGAGAGCAAAGGTCGAAGTTATTTTGTGAATGCGGGTCTATGGAGCTATGGAAAAAATGGAGGAGTTACACTGATATGATAATACGTTGTCACCTCACTGTGCAAAGCTAGAGAGTACAGAATAGTGAAAGAATATGAAGGGAATGAAATTGTCATGGCACAAAAGACTTAGGAAATTGAGGTATTGCTGGAACAAGAGAGGACTGGCTAGTGATAGAGGAGAAATTTGAATGATATATAGCACCATCAAAGTAGTAGAAGTAAAGAAAAACTGGTAACACAAAACACACAAGACATATATTTAAGGATTGTTTAAAAGAATTTTTGTTGTTGGCTAAAGAATTTTCAGTTTAAAACAATAAACAGCAGAAGTCTGGGTATGTTTAGTTGCGGGATGACTGAACCATTCTGTGTGGTGCTAAGAAAAAAGCAACCACAGTTCTTGGATGATTCATTTGATGATTTCCAGTATAAAAGGGAAATATACTGTTTCATGAGAGATTGCAAGTATGGTCTCATTTGTGTTTAAGAAATAAGCGAAAGCAGCAGAAGGGGGTTGTAGGTATCCTGGGATGACTGGAGAATGAGAAGAAAAAGTTTCCTCAATATTGAGAAAGGGCAACGAGTAGAAAGTACAATTCCTTCTGTATAAGAACACTGGCGATAATGACCTTTAACCTAAAGGACATTTCTGGCACAAAACCAAATGAAGCTTGGTTACCCACAAAGAAGTTTAAATAGGATGAGTGCATCTGCCTTACAGGTGACAAAACATGTACTGGAAGAAACCATGTCACCTTGATGGAAATCCCTGATGAGTAAACAAAACCCAGCAGCTCTGTTGCTATGTTGATGATTACCCACTTTCAGTTCTTCAAAGTCTTTGGGAGTTTTTTTGGGCTGATGTTTCCACTGCTTTATTTTTTCCTGAGATGGCTGAATAGTTGTGGTACTTAGAGGTTTGGTTTTGGTTTTGTTGGGTTTTTTCATTTTTAAGTTCAGACCTCTCTGACTATTCTGTTGGAGTCAGATTCTCTTTGAGGCATTTCTAATGCCTGGTGAGGTTTAGTGGGACCCTTTTCCTTCTTGACTGTCTCCCTCCCAGCCAGCAGTATTTAATGACTGTATTTCATTGATGTTCTTATACAAAGTACAGAAAATGAAGTACAATATATTGAGAAAATACAGAACTGCCAGTGTAAATATAGATTTGCATTATTACATTTTCTTTCATCCATATAATTTTGTTTCCTATGATAGAACATCCACAGTTTCATTGTGGTGAATTTTATGTAATTTTGTTCTTACCTCCTGTAATTTTTGGTTAGTCATTTCACTTTCTTCTTCTAGATCCCCCAGTAAACCCTTGGCGCGGAAATTAATGAGTGGGATGGACTGGGAAGTAGTGAGTAGGAACTCACTGTCTGATGATAGGTTGGAAACACAGAGCCTACCATCACGGTCTCCACCTGGAACCCCAAATCAGTAAGTAGCATCGACTCTTGTCAACCTAGAAGTGACTGTCTGCCTCTAACATGAGTGAATTACTTGTATAATAAAAGGGTTAATGCATTGTAGAGACAAGTAACTTCGCAAATTATGCGTTGAGTGGTTCTCTGGAACATTTAGCTCCAGATAAGAGAAACTATTTGGGGGTGAATTTTAGGTGCTTCTCACTCAACATATACAAAGTGTAAGATGTAGCATGCTACCCTAAATTTGAGAGCTTGAGTTAAAACTAAATTATTCATTTGGCTAAGAAAAGAACTGATAATAAAACGTGTGGTATTTTAGAAATAATGGATTCTGGTTAATACCATTAGTTAAAACATTGGGGGAAATTACTTAATCATAAATCCTCACAGGTATATTCCCCTCAATTTTTCTGCATTTCCTTTCAGAGCTTACTCTTTTCACATGATAGAGCTTTCTGGTTTGTGTTTATACTTAGTGAAAAATCATGCCCAATTTCTTCTGGAAAATAACCAATTTTCTCAGTGAGCTGAAACTGGCTTAAGAATCCGTATTATCCAATTTTGTATTGCATAAACCAGAAGGTTTTAAGATTCGTTGGCATTGCAGCATATTATTCAAAAGGCTGCTGTTGTAAATATCTGTAGCATTTAAAATTTATTGTAAAAAGTGTGTAATAATGATGCTTATAGCATAACATAATGTAACTTAAAGCATTTTAGGGAAGTTGCCTCTGTCACTATGCTAGTTTTCAAATGTGAAAATTTTGGGTCACAGGAATGATAAGACTCTCAGTGCAAAGTTATGATTCTTCTTGGAGAAGATGCAGGGGCTAAATTGTTTCAGTGATTTTTGAAACCTTAAATTATTAAAAATATGTATATGAACATATGCATGCACTGAGAGGAAATAATTATTTTAGCATTCCTTTTTAGTGGTGGTAGAAACGTAGATTAATAATAATATTCTTCTCACATTGCACTGCTATGCTTTCCCTCGTAGTCGCAACTCTGCCTTCACTCAAGAAGGAGCCCGGTTACGACCCTCATCAGTTGGACATTTAGTGGACCATGTAGTTCACGCTTCCCCAAGTGAAGTGTTTGTAAATCACAGATCTCCATCTTCCACCCAGGCTAATAGCATCATACTGGAATCATCGCCGTAAGTCCTCTTGGTTGTTACTGTGTGGTAGCATGCAGGACTTATGAAGACAGAATTCTTTGCCATTAAGAATGTAGTGCTAAATGCTTGAGTTGGGGAACCAGAAAATCTACTAAAAAGGTAGCTGGTGTTTAGGGAGTATTAGCATAGATCTTATAGGTCTTTACTTCTGTATTATTTAATTTTCTGACATGTTCCTGGTGCAGAATTATAATACCTTCCCTACCCAGCCACCCAAAATGTGGGTTTGCTGTGATGTGACCATCAGTGTCTGGATGTGGAAGCGAAAGTTATGTTTTTTCATGGAACTGAAGTATGTTCTTTTGTGATAGAAGTTTTTAATTCCCATGAGGTTGGAAATTTTGCTTTTTGTCAAGGCACAGAAGTATGAGTGAGCTTTACAAATTACCTAGCCACAATACCTTTTTAGCCCCCCAGCATTCTGGGGTTCCTAGTATGTTTTGTGTATTGTTACAGAGTATATCTTTTATTTTTTTCAGATAGCACTATAAGGCTTTTTTTCTGTTATGATGAATATTCTTCTGATACTGTAAGTTTACTATGCTGTGGTGGGAAAAATAAAAACTACTATTGTGTATCAAGTCCAGAAGTCCAAACAAAAAAACATCAAATTATTCGAAGATATGAAATACTCGATAACTTGTGGCCAGAGTACAGATTAATTGGGGGGAAAAAAGGGTGCACAACATACACCTTACTAACACTGCCGTTGTACCTTTTTATATGTGGTTACACATGTAATGCTAAACTTGCCCTCATAATTTTGTATAGTCTCTGTTAGCAAGGAAATTGTGCAAATGGTTTCAAAACCATTTGAAAACTACAAAATAGCATATACATAATTACATGTTCATAAACAAATTGTGTGTCTCAGGAAAAATTACTCTGGGAAGGTATTTGAACACCATTTTAAAACCTTGCTTGGACTGTACTTTCAGTTTTAACAACTGTGTGTAACTTTGCAGAGGGAAATAGAATACAAAATTTTTAAAGTTTTGTAAAATAACACAAGATGCTTTTTATCATAGGGTACAATAGTTATAACTTGACCATCAGCTAGTTATTTAGCTTTCAGAGTTATAAACCAGTAATTTTGCCTAATAATATAAAATTCTCTTTTTTTGGCGGGCTTTTTTTAACCTATTCACATAGCAAGGGAGTCTCAAAACTGGAACACTTGTGAGTCTTTTCTCATATTAGGATTTTGCTGTACAAAGGCCACACAGGGTCAGGTTCCTTCTCTTCCAAGACTTCCAACTGAAGACAGTTAGGAGAAACACTTACTGAATGGTAGAGTGATACAGTGAAGTAAGCACAGTTCTTAAATATTCTCTTTTATTCATATGCCTTTACTCTAACTTAAGTTGTAAAAGATGTTCCTGACCGTCCTTGGGATTTGTTTATTTTAATGCCTGATTTCTTGCGTAAGTCACCATAGAAATGAGTCTTAAAAAGAGAGGAAGTGGTTTTGTAAATTAGTTATGCAACTATGGCTGTTCTTTTTCATGATTTTGCACTTTTTATGCCCAAGCAGAAGAACTGTTGCTCTTCCATCACTGAGTTTTGTGTTTTATTTTTGTTTTTTTTTCCCTTGTTGGAAGCTTAAAAGTGGAATTTAATCTCCCAGTATAAATATCTAGCATAAGATATTTTTAAGAATGAGGATGTTGACTGTCAAAAATACATGAGCCCCATTAGGATCTCCTAGAAGCTTCAGGTGATGTTATTGATTCAAGATTTGAGATTTATGAAAGAATGTAGTAGTCATGAAGTTCATATTAGCTGTATAATTTAAAATGATACTGTTTTACAGTCCAAAAAGCTATTTCTTAAACAGTTTGATCTTTGTGAGTTAAAAGATTTGAGTAGTCCCATCTGCTAATTTGTTGGGAGTTTTGATTTATTGATTAAATTTACATATGTAAGAAAGTCAGAGGGGCTAACCTGACAGGCAATAAGCTTAGTGACCTCTTGGAGTTTGGAGTCAACATAGCAGAGAGTTTCAGTGCAGTTTAGAAGGATATTACAGCTTAGCTAATACAATCTTTAATTCCATACTAAATTGAGAGATTTCTGATTGTAGTTCCCTGAGGTAATTATCACCTTAAATTCCAAAAGCATGTGATATGTGCTTAGTTTAATAAATTTATGGGGGTGTGTATGAAACTTTTGCTTAATATATTAAAAGGTCAGACCAGATTATCTGTAACAAAAATAGCCAAAGCTTGTCAGTGCTGGGGTTTGTGTGTTATTTTATTCTTATGTAAATTGCTGAATGCAGTAATAGAGAGCTGCTTTGCCTGCAAAATAGGCTGCTTTCACTGCCATTGTCTAAGCATTCATAAGGAAATTCAAAGCTGACTGGGCAAATATAAAGCAATGAAGTTTTTGCCCAAGGCTTGATTGTTAGTTCTCACAACTCATTATGCTAATATATTGCAGTACTTGCATTGCTGCTTCTAAAACGCTCATTTAAGTAACTTTTCAAATCTTTTCTATAAGTTTGTATGTTTGATAGGAATTTATTTGTGTTTGTTGACATGTATGTACAGACATCTAGTAAAACATAAGAGCCCATCTTTTACTTTTATTGGAATGACTTCTTCTGTGTCTCTACTCCATGTTTTCTATTCCTTTTTCATTCAGTTTAAAACTCTCAGGAGTAATTGTTTGCAGGAAAATACATAACTATGTTGCCCTTCACTTAAAGGACTGAATAATCTGTGCCGGCCAGACTTGAATGAATGAATACATAGGCAGTTAAAAAGCTCTGGGTGACCTTTGTACATCAATGTCTAAATAATTTATAGCTGCCTTGAAAAATTCATTTTGCAAATGTTGGCAATCATATTTTTCTCTTTCTCTGCAAAAATGAATTTAGAAAAGCAGCTTATCCTGAAAAAGAAAATATAAGGATGATATGCTCTTTTTGTACTGTCACTTGCATTGAAAAGTGTTAAGAAATATTATTTTTATTCCCTGGTGTGTTTTGAACATGAGATTCTTCAGACATCAGATACTGAATAATTAGTACTTTTTTTCTTTTAACACTGCATGAAAAAAAATATTTTCAGAAAGTTGAAATTAAGCAAAAACATACAGAAAAAACATTGCTAGGGTCTTTTCAATTGCATTGAAAAAAATAAATATTTTGTTTTCCAAGAAAATTGACTAAATTTTTAAAAACTGAAATGGAAAACTTGTGGGTTTTCAGTGTTCCATTTCCCATGCAATTTTCATGCTTTTTGAAAGAGGTTCATCCTTTATTTGAAATCACTGTAGACAAGTGTGAACTGATTTTTTGTTTTTATTTGAAAACATGTATCTGGGATCTGCCTTTCTTTAATTCCATAGAAACAAATTATACGGTATGGAATTTGATATGTGCCTTAGGTTTTCTAACTTGCAGCAACTTGAAATGTTATGCTGTCTCGTAATGAGAGTCTTGCGCTGCTAACAATTTACTGTGGCTAGACCAGATAAATGCAGTAGGGCTACTCACGTGGTTACCCGTGCTTTTTAGAGGGATGTTATGCTATGAGTTACCACTACAGCTTGCTGATAACGAAAGGGGTGGTGGCCTATTTCTAGCTTCTGGGAGCATACTTCCCTCCCTGCATGGTGGTCAACCTTGTGATGAACCAGTTCACCTTGTTGAACCACCGGAGAGCTACCCAGGCTTGTCCAAAGAGTCAACTATCTTTGCTTGCTGGGTAAGCTGCCTTAGCCAAGGGAGGAGCACCGAAGTGCTTCAAGGAGGGGGCCATGGGTGTGGGTGAAAGAAAGGATGGAGGCACCCATTTTTGGTTGTAGCGTTCTCTTTAGATTTAGCTGTAACCTGTAACTTCATTCTTGGTGGTTTTTGGATTTGCCACTAGTATTAGTGGGCTGTTGCCATAAGTTGTTAAATCACTTAATCATACCTTTTAATGTGGTTCCTGGGGAGGAAGGCATGTATCCTCACTGGTATTTAGAAACTGGCATTCAAACAAAGTTAATGGGAACTATGTGCTAAGTGGCCTTTTGGGCCCCTCAAAATGTTGTTCTTAATTCTTAAATATAAAGGCATATAATGAAAAATGAATCATATATTTATGTAATACAAATTATACAGTTAAGCTTTTATTCCAAAAGGACTAATAAAGGAAATTACACATAAACACAGAGAACATTTTTATTAATCTGCAGCAGAGTGCTTGCGGATCTAAAACAGAAATAGAACTTTCTGCTATTTCATCTTCAGTAATGGTGTTATATCTCAACTAAAAAATGCATGCGATGAATGCCATTTTTACAAATGTCTCAATGCCGCGCATGTTTCAGGGGGGACTATGTTCAGAGGGATGGGGGAAACAAAGTTCTCTTGAAATGTATACGTGTACTTTTAAGTTGAAAATTTAAAATTAACACTACCATCTCCAGTGGGCTTTTCAAATAAGTGCAGGGGGACAGTTGAGTTTTCTTCAACTTGCACTCCTCCTATTTTCAGATTAAAAACCAAAAACTAGTGTGGGAGCGCTTTATTATGCTTCTTGTGTCTGTTTTTAAGATCTAAATTGCAGGCATTAATTTAAGATGTGAACTAATTGATTTTCTTACTGAGGAAAGCATATTAAGTGATATCTAAGAAATAATTTTTTTTAGCAAGAGTGCAGAGTATAAATACAGTGAATTTTATAATATTCCAATATAAAGTGGGTTAAGACTGCTAAAACCATTTTAAAAAAATGATGTATAAAAGATGAACTTACTGGTTCTGTGTACAGTTGCTTGTCAAAAAAAAAAAGCAGTAACATGTCCAAACATACCCTTCCAATATATTCCACCAGTGTACATTTTTGAGATTCTAAAAATACATACAGATATTCAGCTCTCAAACTCTTGCGTTTCTTGTAGCATTTTCACTTATTTGGAACGCTGATAGAACTGTCAGTATCTCATGATCGTTCCACTTCATACTTCTATTTTGGTATTTAGATCTCAAGAGACTCCTATAGATGGGCAGCCTCCTGCGTTACCACCCAAACAATTTAAAAAGAACAGTTGGAACCAAATTCATCATTCACACTCACAGCAAGAACTGGATAACCATATTAATGAAACATTTGATGTTCCTGCATCACCTGAAAAGTCCACAGTAAGTTTTTTGGATCCAGCTTAACCATTCTGCTTGTTTTCAAGAATGATAGTCCTGCTTTTCCTGAGCTTGGTGCTGATGCATTTCAGAGAGTTGCTTGTGTTTGTGCCTTACACTGCAGCATTTCTGCTATACATACTGTCTCTTTGCTAGCTCCCACTATTTGTTCCACCTACTGAAGTAGTCCTTTGTCAGTTGTCATCAAATGACTGCATTGGGATGGATATGCAAACATTTTGAACATTAGCTTTTCAGCACATGCAGAAATTTCTAACTAAGCTCTTTGAGCAGTCATTTACCATCAATTTTAAAGAAGACATTGCAGATACTACCACTGATGTTTAATCTAGCTTTTATCAAAAAGCTGAAACTAGAAGTTCCTACCAGCTTCTAGAGCAGTTTTGTCAGAAGAGGCTTCTTGAATCTGTGGATGCATTTCTCATCAGAATTTCCAAGAGACTCTGCCAATGGACCTGTGACAACAAATGTACAAATCTGAGTAAAAGTTCTTTTTCTACACTTAAGCATGTGCTAGATGAGTAAGCTAGTCAGGTGATTGTTTTCTGACTGAGCTGAGATCTCACTAACCATTTGATTTTTGTTCTTCCAGAAGTGTTCAAATGGTTCTTGGTTTTATACTGATGTGGGATGAGAAATGTTTTGCGGGATGGGAAAACTGTTTAGCATCCAGATGTAGCAAATACTTATAAACAGTTTTGCCAACTTCAGACATTCAAAATTATGAGTCAGTTCCCAAAATTGATATTTTAGAAATGCCTTTGGTTTATTTTTATTTGCATTCTGAACTCTTAAGCCCACAGTGTTCTCAGGCCTCCTTACAAAGTTAAGATTCCCTTAAAACCCATATTTAATTTCATAGCTGGGGTTTTAATAAAACATGCAACAGTAAAACTGGTAAATTTATGAGCATTTTGGGAATGTTGTAAAAAAATTTGCTTTAAATAATAGGAGAATTAACAGCTTTGTCTAATGTCAGTGTTTACCTGAGTCATATTAAAGTACTGTTCTGTTTTGAAAGATAACGCTATTTTACTCATCAGGATTTTCTACTCTCTATTCAGTTATCTTTACCAAATTGACAAAGAAAAGCTTTCAGTTGTTTTTTAACTCCTTTTAGTTCTGCAAAACCAACACAGCTGCATGAGAATGAGATTCTTTTTTTCTCTGTGCATTGTCAATGTGATTGTTTGCTGTGGTCCAGTGGGCCACATTTATTGAAGATCTAATTTGATCAGCTGATAGCTTTTTATTTTGGGTATTAGAAAAGAAGGAGCACAGCATGGCTCTGAAACTTTGTGAAATTGTAAATTTAGAATTTGGAAGGTGGGTTTTCTTTCTCCCGCCCAGCCCCCCTCTCCCCCAGCTGCTTTTCTGAACAAAATGTAGTTCAGGTTCCTGCAGCACTGAAGTCTCTTCTGCTGCTCTATCTCAAATATCTTAAGGGAAACTCTTCACCATTTTGATTTCATTTAACTATTGAAATTCCTTCGTTGGTTATATGTATAGAGAGTCTATTTAGAAAGGTAGTAGGACAGGTATAGGAGTGACAACTTTTTACTCCATCTGCAGTCCCCAAGTATCCAGTCTGAGGATGTCCAGAAATTTTTGAGAACAGGTGTGGCCAGGAGTCCCTTCAGTCAGACAGGTTAATGATGATATACAGTGCTCTCTTCAGGTTTTTCATTACAAACTGCTGCTCAAAATAGCCTGTTAAAGCAGGAAATTATTATTCCCTTTTTGTCTGGGGAATGCAATGGCACAAAAGTTGCCAAACGCTGCAGGTGAGCACTTGGCTGCTGTTCATTCTGCCCAGGAACGCAAGTCTTGTCTCCTGTGCCAGTGAACATAGGCTAAAATGATTTGCACATGATCAGGCTTCGTACGCACCCTTCCTTCTCATTAACGTATCTTACACTGGTACTTTCCTCTTCTCCCCCAAATTTTTATTACATACAGTATTTTCAAGGTCTAACTGAACAAAATATATATTAATGTAATTTTTGTTTACTAGCCCAATGGTGGTGTCCCTCATGACAATCTTGTTATGATCAGAATGAAACCAGATGAAAATGGAAGATTTGGCTTCAACGTAAAGGTAACAGTACATCTATTCCTTTCACGTCTATTAAGATTATTTCCTGACGTTTGTCACGTATCACTAATTTAATTTGTTTTTAAAGGGTGGGTACGACCAGAAGATGCCGGTAATAGTGTCCAGGGTAGCTCCAGGAACACCTGTAAGTTATCAAAAAAACAAACTTGGTAGCAATATCTGTGTATCTTGAAATATGTATTCAAAACTGTAAATGATATATTTCATAGTTGCTTATGAAAATTAGATTGTTATATAACATTATCCTAACGAAGCAAATTATGTGCAGTAAGAATTTGCTTACGCCATGTAACATATCTCAATCCTCAAAAATATTTTTTTCTTACTGAAACAAAATTTAATTCCTGAAAATTACAGGGCGTTACAGGTGTTCAGTATGCACTATTTCTTGAGCTGTGTCATCCTAAAAATACATTTACTTTATTACTTTTTAAAAATATAGGCATTCATATAATTTCATGTAAATTACATATTGAAAGAGTCTTTTAGTATATTAAAAATAACTAAAATAGCAAATCTCTCTAAGTGACAGATGTAGTTGAATAAAGCCACGATTTAGATTAAAATCAGACATGAATCATTCATCAGGTCCGATTTGTCTGTTGTTACTGGTGTTTAGTGATTATCGATAGTGTCTTCAAACTAGGCACAATATTTTGTCAGTTGAATGCGAAAAATACTGACCTGGTGTTCAGCTGTCTGGAGTCAGCTCTGTGTATACCTTTTAGAGTACACTTAAGAAGTACAGCTTTCCCTTCTTTGACTATTTGAAACTATTAAAATGCTTGCCAGGAGTGTTGTTCTTGTCCCTGTTAATTACTGTTTCTGAAATATTTAATAATTAAATAATTTTGTCTGAATGCTTTAACCATCCACTTTCTAAGGAGAAGGTATTTGGTGGTGGCATGTGCTCTTTCTTTTCCGCAATGATGTTTAGACTGTGGTTATAATTACTACCTGATTCCTCTCTGGGATTCCTGGGATTTGTGCATTGTCTTGGGTCCTTGTCTTACTCTTGTCATTACAGTTGTGATATTTCACACCTGAAGCATTTACGCCTGTGAAATTGATTTGGACAAGGTGTTGCCATGTTACTCCCTTCCCTTCAAAGATAAGAACATCCTGCTTTATAATTTCCTAATACAAAATGTGATTCAAACAGACGAGCTTTCTACTTCAACTAGAGGAGTGGAGTAACAGCTGCCAGAAGACATGTTACAATGACAGTCACCTCCCAGTTGCAAATTGATTTGTTCATGTGAACGGCACTGTCTTACATATTGTGTAACACTTAAAATTTATCATTTGAATACAATGCAGCAACCATAGCAACTAGGCTGTTGGGATTCAAGTCCTTAAGTATAGTTACATGAGGTAGCTATTTTAAGGTGAGAAATTGGAAATGACTTGTTTTACAGACTTTGTTTTTCCCCCTCTCACACCTTGCAGGCTGATCTCTGTGTCCCTCGTTTGAATGAAGGGGACCAGGTTGTACTGATTAATGGGAGGGATATAGCAGAACACACCCATGATCAAGTTGTGATGTTTATTAAAGCTAGTTGTGAGAGACACTCAGGGGAACTTGTGCTCCTAGTTCGACCCAATGGTGAGTTGTACCTCATCATCCACACCTTGCTTTCATTTTCTAACCTCTATTTTGTGTCCTGAGATAGAATGCTTAACGTTTTTGTAAGAAAGAACTCCCTTCCTTGAAAAGGAATTGCAACAACACAGTGTATTGTACAAATCCTGATTGATCCCATACTCTAAGGAGCTGTGCATAACTAAGTGTTGAAAATTAATATGGAAGTCAGAGATCAAATATTTTTGAGAACAAAATTGAAATTAGCTCTTTATCTCATTGATGAAAATGTCCAGAAAGCTATATGGATATTGAATGCAGTTTCTGAGGTTGCTGTTATGCCCCCAGGGAAATAACAAAACCCAAATGCCAACAAAAAACCCCTCACCAAACATCCAGTGTTTGGATGACTTTGGAGGTCAATACATACAAAATCCTTCCCTATGCTTTTAAAACAATCCAGAATGACTGGTAACATTTCAACTTGAGGAGGCTTGGTAGAAGAAAGTGCAAAAATGCAGTCTTAAATAACAGCTTGTGCAATATATTCAGGAAGCACGCTGTTTGAGTATTGCCAGCAGATGGTCACTGGATTTAATTCTGCTGCATATCCAAATTATAATACGGTTGCAGAGGAAAAAGCAAAATGAAAAATAATGATGCTTAATTGGAATAATTGAAATTACTTTAGTACTTCAGTACCACAAAATACTTCAGCCACATCACAAAATTTTTTTCCTTTATTAATTTATTTACACTCCCCACTTACTTGTGCTCTCATTCTGTGTGAAGTTCTCTTGCAGGTTTTGTGTGCTTACTTTCTCTTTCAGATAAAAATGTTAGCTTTGTTTACAAATTTACTAAAACAGTTTCCCTTTGTGTGTTGATTATCTTTGTATTCTGGATAAAAACATTTCAATTGTAGAAGTGAGGAGGTGCCAGTTTCCTCCTTCATGGTTATGGAACATCATTTAAAAACAGACTTTTGAACAGCATATGTCTCTGCTATGTATAGGAGAAGATGCATATTATTTTTCAGTTCATTTACAGGCAGTGCACACATACAGCATTCATAGCATTATAATGGCATGTATTAATGCCATTTTCTCAGATGGTCTGCACATCTCGCCCTAATTACTGAAGCCTAAAATCAGGTCAAAGTTAATTAAAAGTAAAAATGTAAATGCAACTATGATGACTTTAGAGGCATGACGTGAGAATCAGAGATGAGGGAGTTACATCAGACAAGGCAGGGTGTAACATGAGTTTTCATCAAAATTCTAGCAGTCGGTGTGCTTTCACTTAAAATTACTATAAAAAAAACACAATAGTGTTTTCATGGATTATACTGATCAGTGAAGGCTACTTGTTCTTGCTGATGGGAACTAAAATCAGTGTGTTAATAAATGTGGATTTTTCTACAGGAGAAAAATTTCTACACTTGTCATTTTTGCTGTTTTAAACAAATGACTTTGTTAACTTTACTTGCCAAACAGCATGTTCACAGTGTTCATACCTTTATTTGTTATAGCTGTCTATGATGTTGTGGAAGAGAAGCTGGAGAGCGAGCCTGACTTCCAGTACATCCCTGAGAAATCTCCACTTGATGGTGTCCATCAAGATGATAATGCTCTGAGGGAATCCATGATTCAGCTAGCAGAGGGGCTTATCACTGGAACTGTTTTGGCTCAGTTTGATGTGAGTACTGTGTCGCCTGTAGCTGTGTGCAAGTTCCAAGTCTTTTGTGACAGTAGTTACTTTAAGCAGAGCAGATTTCTGTGAAATTTCAGTAGAGTTAGCGTCTTCTAGCAAAACAATTGTCTTACACTGTCAAAATAAAAATAACAAAAAAAAAATCCAGTCCTGTATTGTATGTGCATACTTATGGGATAGAATAATCCTAAGACTAGTTTTTAGTGTTTAAGTAGCTTTATTAATTACTTAGAACTTCTTGTGGTTATCAGGGACCTATTGCAATAAAATACTTTCATAGAGATGAAGACTGAAAAATGTATACCAAAACACGTGTTCTATACTCAGACCTTCATTCCATATCTAAGTTGCTGTAGAAACTGAATGACAGCTGAGCTGTTGGCATTTTATGGACAATCTCAGGGAAGGTAAAATTACCAATGGAAAATACAACCCTGTGGTGGGTTGACCTTCGCTAGACAACAGGTGCCCACCAAAGCTGCTCTATCACTCCCCATCCTCAGCTGGACAGGGGAGAGAAAATATAACCAGAAGCTTGTGGGTTGAGATAAGGCCAGGGACAGATCAGTCAGCAATTACTGTCATGGGCAAAACAGACCCCTCCCTTCTTCCCGGCCTCAGCTCTGCTCCCGATTTCCCTAATGTCTCCCCCACCCCTGAGCAGCACAGAGGGATGAGGAATGGAGGTTGTGGTCAGTTCATCACAAGTTGTTTCTGACGCTCCTGCCTCCTCAGGGGGAGGACTCCTCACACTCCTCCCCTGCTCCAGTGTGGGGTCCCTCCCACGGGAGACAGTCCTCCATGGACTTCTCCAACATGAGTCCTTCCCACGGGCTGCAGTTCTTCACAAACTGCTCCAGCCTGGGTCCCTCCACAGGGTGCCATCCTTCAGGGACAGGCTGCTCCAGCCTGGGTCCCCCGTGGGTCACAAGTCCTGCCTGCAAACCTGCTCCAAGTGTAGGCTCCTCTCCCCACAGGGCCACAGGTCCTGCCAGCAGCCGGCTCCAGCGTGGGCTGCCCATGGGGTCACAGTCTCCTTCGGGCATCCCCCTGCTCCAGCGTGGGGCCCTCCCCGGGTGCGGGTGCAGATCTGCTCCCCCGTGGAGCTCCATGGCCGCAGGGGCACAGCTGGCCTCCCTGTGGGCTTCCCCCGGGGCTGCCGGGGAACCTCTGCTCCGGGGCCTGGAGCCCTCCTGCCCCTCCTGCTGCTCTGACTTGGGGGTCTGCAGGGCTGTTTTTCTTGCATATTCTCACACTTCTCTCTGTCTACAAATCCTGTGTGCCATTTTTTTTCCCCCTTTTTAACTATGTTATCCCAGAGGCGCTGCCATCATCGCTGATGGGCTTGGACTTGGCCAGCGGTGGGTCTGGATCAGACACAGGGGAAGCTTCTAGCAACTTCTCGCAGAAGCCAGCCCTGCAACCCCCACAGCTACCAAAACCTTGCCACGCAAACACAATACAAAACCTAATTTTAAGGGTTACAACCCTAATCTTAAGGGTTAATACAACAATGTCTTCTATAAACAGTTGATTTTTTTATGACGTATTTAAAAAGAGCAGTGCACTTCCTGTGGGGTTCAAAGCTGCCGATAGCTGTAGTCTTTCTTTAGCACTAACTTGGGCCTTGATGATATATTCCATATTTAATGCATGAGCCCAAGTGACTTAAAGCAGGAAGCAGTAGGTTTGTAAAACACAGCAGTTTTGATTTCTGTGAATTCCTCACCACATGGAGACCTAGCATTATGTATTACAACATATATTTATAAAATATATACCATTCTTTAAGAACTTTGGTAAAATTTACTTTTATATATGGAAAGAAAAGATTTTCTCAAAGTGATTTAAAATCTCTCCTTAACCATACATTTTCAGTCTCCCAAACAGGTTCAATGTTTAAAAGGTTTTAAAGTGCTTTTTATTGAACCTGAATAATTTCACTGCTACTGTTTGCAGCACAAGGGTTGTAGCAATGCGTGGCTAAGGCATGAGGGGGCAAGAACCTCTCACGATTTTGTGATTTTGTGCAGGAAAAGCATGAGGTAGCCCAGGATTTGCTCTATAGTAACTGAAATATGGAAGGACATCTGGGGGAGAAAAAAAAAGAGTGAAACAACTGTAATGGAGGTAGATGCCTATACACAACACAATCTGCTTGCCCCAAATCACTGTGTGGAATGTCAGCATCAGTCAATTCCCTTACCAGTATACAATTTTGACTTTTCTCTGGGTCAGTGTTCTTATGGAAGCTTGAAATTTAACATTGTTTGTCTTTAAAAAATTGTGACGATGTCTTGATTATTTTCAGTGATCCCACAGCGTCACTAAATTCATAGTACTATCTTTTGAAAAGTATTTTCATATGTGTTGAAGCTACTGTTGCTCAGTAGTTTATATTCTAAAAAGTACCTCTAGGCAAATAATATACAGATGGGTCTTTTGCATCTATTATGGTCTGACCGTCAGTCTTTTCTTTTAGCAATTGTATAGGAAAAAGCCTGGAATGACAATGTCGTGTGCCAGATTACCTCAAAACATTTCCAAAAATAGATACAGAGACATTTCGCCTTGTAAGTATGTGTGTTTGTATATGTGTTCTAAAAGTATTTTACTGTGGTTAGTAAATAAGTAACGTCTTTCTAAAAAATTTTTCAGATGATGCTACACGGGTTATTTTAAAAAGTAATGAAGATTACATCAATGCAAATTATATAAACGTGAGTAGTATTTTTCAAAAGAGCTTCTGACATTAAGTAATTTTGCAATTTTTCAATGGCAAATTTGATCTAAAATTTTTTTTATAAATCTAGTTCAGACTAGAATGGCTGATAAAACCTATAGTCAGATGGTTTGAAATTTACTGTATGTATGTACTTATTTGCTAATGCTTTGTGGCAGGTATTTTCATAAATGAAACTAAGAAAAAGAAAAAATACTTAAAGAAGTTAGCTCTCTACTTGTGGGATCCATTCTTCTTTTCTGTTTCCTAATGCGGCAGTAGTGTTCATCATCAGTAAAGTTTAATCTGGCAGCACTTTCTTTTACATCTGCCCCCCGCCTCATTGTCAGTAACAACAAAATTACAGCCACTTCTCAGGAACAAAAAACCAAGAGATTAAATTCCAAGATCAGTATTTTAAAAGCTAGCGTCAGAAACCTGCAGAGCATGAAATGTTTGCACCTGAATTATTTTCCAATTGCTCTATCATTTTTTGTCCAACCATTAATCTTGATCATAGCAACTACGTAACTGTCAGTTAATATGTGAATTGTACTTGGATCTTTGTAATAATTTTGCATGTGAAACACTTCGAAGAATTTTTATCTGTGCAAATCTTTATTTACTAACTCATAATAAATAGAATTAATATAGTTGATGCGTTTTTAATGTATTGGTTACTAAACACTAAATGTCTGATGTCTGACTTACACTTGCTGTAAGACTTAAAATAATGACTTCGTCTTCTCGTAGATGGAAATCCCTTCTTCCACAATAATAAACCAGTACATTGCTTGTCAAGGTCCATTACCGAACACTTGTCCTGATTTTTGGCAGATGACTTGGGAACAAGGTTCGTCTATGGTTGTAATGTTAACGACTCAAGTTGAACGGGGCAGAGTAAGTAAAAGATTTCCTTAAATACTACTTGCATTATCTTCTAAAAATCTGTTGGTGATTAGCCTTTAAAAGATTAGTGGAATATATTATTATGACATGTAATATGACAAGGGGTAATGGTTTTAAACTATTAAGAGGATAGATTAAACTATTAAGAGGGGAGATTTAGACTAGACATAAAGGAGATGTTTTTTTACAATGAGGGTGGTGAAACACTGGTGCAGGTTGCCCAGAGAGGTGGTAGATGCCCCATGCCTGGAAGCATTCAAGGTCACGTTGGACAGGCCTCTGAGCAACCTGATCTAGTTGAAGATGTCCCTGCTCATTGCAGGGGGGGTGGACTAGATGACTGTTAAAGGTCCCTTCCAACCCAAACCATTCTATGACTTTTTTTTCCTAAGGGCAGTGCATTCCTAGTACTGTTGCAGTGATGACTCTTACATTTCAAACCTTCTGATATTGTTAATGTAGCTAATATTTAAACTTTGTTCACCTCTGAAATACATTGAAGACTTCACGTATTTCTTAAAATTTTTTTGGATTTCCTTGTTTGATTCTTTATTGTAAAGTAAAAAGCAACTAGAATTTACCTTCATAGAATTTTTGTGTCTAAACTTCAAATGAAGGAGTTCCAAGAAGTTTCATCAGTTTTTGTAGAGTAATTGTTTGGTATGTAGAGCGATTAATTTTTTTAAGGCAGCCTAACACAGCTTTGTAGTGTTAAAATCCCGTGCCGGGATGGCTGTCTTAATTTAAGAGAATACTTGATAAGCTTGAAATCTAAAATTTTTCATAAAATGTTCTTCTGTGGTTATAAACATTTGTTTAATCATATGAAAGAATCATTTTCCTTTTAAGTCATTTCCATACAAAAATGTGTAAAAATAGAGTACTAGTAATAAAATAACTAGAATTATAAATTACTAAAAATAATTGTGCTGTAAAAGGCCTCAGGTGTACTTTGTGGTTGGTTTGGTTTTTGGTTTGTTGGTATGGGGTAAGTTATATAGTTTCTCCTTAATTGTTTTTTTTATTATGCAGCTTTGTCCTTTGGAGGCAGGCAAAACAGTCAAATTTGGTCATACACACAGTGTAATTCCAGAGTTATTGAGTTTATAGTCTGGAGCATTCATCGTAGCACTGGCTGGTTGAGTGTGTGGACAGAAATGACAATCTGAAATAATAGTTTAGTGGAATTTTTCCACCTTCAGGATTTCTTTTATAGTAGGTTGTGGATGTTCTGATCAACTCAGACTGTAGTTCTGCTGTCTGTACATATTCTAACTTTATAATAAACATATATTTGCTGGGAGGTCAGACCTCTAAACATAATTAAAATAATTGAAGGGGAGTTGCAGTGGTTTTAAACCATTTTTCAGTGACTCAATGTTAGCATGATGCTGCCTGCTCCCAAATAAACATGATTGGAGGGAATTTCAGTACAAGTGGCCTTTTAATTTGAGTTTTCTTCGCTGATCTGCAACAGACTTGCAATAGCAGTTCTCTGAGGTTCCCCTATCCCTTCAGTAATGATATTTGTGGAGTTCTTTGGAGAACTGCTTAATAATGAAATAAAAGGACTTATCTGTCTTATACCTATAGCCAGACTCCCTGCTCTAAAGCTGATCATGAGGCTACAGACATCACTATCCCACTGCATGCCGGGATGTCTCGGTGGAGCAGGAAGTCTGCAAATCTGGCTGCTCTTAAATAATCGCCAGGTGGGTTGGAAAAACAAAAGCACACTTGAGCTGAAATGACCTCTCTAATTAGATGTTTAAGCAATATATCTGAAAATCTTAGTGTTCAAAGTTTTCATTCACATTTGATGATATGATCAAGAATCTTTGAAGTCCACCATCTGCATCCTCCTAATTTCTGCATTAGTTTAGAAACTTTTTTGTTGCTTATAGCCTTTTTTTTTCCCATTTGTTCTTTTCCCATACAAATGTGCTTTGAGAAGATTAGATTAGGATTTTGGAGGTCAGAAATGTTTATAAAGCAGCATTTTTGTCACTCAAGTGTTAAGATGGAATATTTATAGATATACTTTTTTTAAAAATTGTAATGAAAATTAAAAGCATGCATCTTCAGTTAAACTAACCTCAAGAGCTGGTGCATGTGTCCTCTTGAAAAGAGAACCAGGAAATCTCTGCAATACATTATTTTATAAACAGTAATTAGGTAACAGTCTATTTGGTAAGTAAATTAATAGTCATTACAAAATTATCAAAGTCATCTTTAATGGACAAAGGTATGAGGAACTAGAGAGAATGAAAATAATACTCTGTGAATTTAAACACAGGCATCTTTGAAAATGTGTTGACCTTAGGTTAAATGCCATCAGTACTGGCCAGAGCCATCAGGAAGCTCATCATATGGGAATTTCCAGATTACCTGCCATTCAGAAGAAGGAAATCCTGCTTATGTCTTTCGAGAAATGACATTGACTAATCTGGAGGTAAAATCATAATATATGTTCTTAAGAATTAATCTGTGATATCCTTACAGACTAGCTAAAACTTGTTTAATCAGACTTTCTTTTCAACTTGGTGGCATATCCACATAAATATAACTGTTTATTTATAGAAGCCTTTAGAAAATTACTCATATTGCCGTGTACTTACCTTGTATAAATTCTGCTCTTAGAATGATAGCAAACCTTTCACTATCAAAATATCCCAAAGATTCAGTTTCCAGAATCATATTAATTGGTTTTAAATCACATAAAAGATGTATTATTTGTCTTAAAAGTCTTAATGGGTGTATTTCATGCCCTGGACAAAGAAAAAAATGTAATTAAAGAAGTTGAGAAACTTGTTATTTCCTTGATGTTTTCAAAATATGAGACACTAGAGGTATTTCATTATTACAACTGAAAATCTGTCTTTGTAGAGGCAAACAATTTGTAATAATTCCATCTTGGAGAATATGTGCAAGTAGATGGCAGATAAATCCTGCTGAGAGAAAGATGAATTGGGATTGGCGACTACATGTAAACGAGGAGCTTCTTGAACATGCATTGCATGATTTTTCAGGGCATGCATAGTTTTCAGAGCCTCCACAGCTAGCATTTCAATCTCAGAAATGCTTGGAAATGAGTATCTGGAATTTAGTTCACCTACTCATTTCTCACTGCTTGGGTTACTGGATGAGATGCCAGTTTTATAGAGCTGCCTTTGAGTCAATTTGCAGTTAAAATTCCCTCTCTGTGTCCTGTTGAGACAATTGCTCATTTGTTATCAGCAGTGGAACCTCTGTAAAGTATTCCATGCCTAAAGGTTATTTAAAGTGTGGTAACTCCTCCTCTTTGAAATGTTGCTTTTACACTGATTGTATGGACTGTCCCCTCTGCTAACCAGAGGCAGATTTTGTTTCTGATATTAGAGCAAGGGGCAGGAGGGAGTGGAAAACAAAGTCATTCTGCATCTTATGCATAGAATACTGGATAAAATTAAGAGGTGCAGATAAAGCCAAAACAATGCTGCTGTTCACATGGGGTCTGAAGAAAATCTTTTCTGTCTGAAAGTCCTGCCTTTCCCCTCCCTAGCCCAGTTCTGTCATTTGACCTAGTAAGATAGTACCTCTTTCTGTTAAACTTGTTTTGCTAAAAATTTGACCACTTTCTTGTACATTTGAGTGTTCAGATAGATCATTGGTATCCTTGAACTGCTTTGCTGTTACATGGTGTGTAACTTTTTTAACCTGTTGAAGATGTAAACATTTGCAGATTGCCTTTTTTGTTTTTACAAAAAAAAAGGTAATTATAAAATCCAGGATGAGCAATGATTAATAAGGTGCTGCTAGTTGCCTGAAGCCACTTTTATTATGAGCACAAGCTGCTGTAAATGTACCATTTGTTGTTGTTATTATTACCAGCTTACTTTTTTAATGAGACCTGACTCAGCCTTGAATAAACTTCATGTTTCTGACTAGAAAGAGGAAAGCCGCCAACTAACCCAAATCCAGTACATAGCATGGCCTGATCATGGGGTTCCTGATGATTCCAGCGATTTCCTAGATTTTGTGTGTCTTGTGCGAAAGAAAAGGGCTGGCAGAGAAGAACCTGTTGTTGTTCATTGCAGGTATCCTTTTTTTTCCAACTTCATTAAATCATCAAACTGAACTTATTTGTCATCAAATAGCTTTTCTATGCTTTGTTGTTGAAATAAACATTTAATTGTATCTGCTTTGGGCATGACAGGAGAACTCAATGTTTAAATTAAATAACTACTTAAAATTGTAATCATGTTTCAATAAGCAAAATTTTTGTATCTATATGCACTGATCTATGTAGGGATTTTGTTGGTTTGGGGTTTTTTGTTTTGTTTACAGTTTAAAATGCTTGTTCTAACAGTCTACATAATATTTCATGGAAAAGCTAAAATATAGTTAGGAACCTTTTCCTCATTGGTGACTATTCTACAAAACTCCAGAATAGCTGTATAAATAATCTGTAGCAAAAAACGTGGGTGGTATATGCAACGATCAAATAAAAGATACTTTCTCTTAAGTCTACAGTCTTAGGCTACATGATATTTTGATACATACATGAAGATGACACATTTTTCTCAAGAATTTTTGTCATGAATTAGAATAACTCTGTTACTCAGATTTTTATGTACAGATGAAATAGTTTTTTTTGTTGTGCGGTAGTTTTTATTAGCATTCTACATTCCTCCAGTAAATTTCAAAATCTTAATCCTTTAAAGTACCTACTTAGTAAACTGTAATAATGCATAATGACAAATGTCTTCAAATGAACATGTGCTATACCAATTCTTGGTGAGCAGTTCTGTGATAAAATTTGCCCTCTAAATTCCTGAATACTCCCCAGTCAGTGTTCCCAAGTCAGGTGCGCGTTGTTCCTGTTTCAGAGAGAAGCTGAGAGGTTTAAGGGAAAACATCGATTTAAAGGCTATCTAATCTACAAAAAACCTCAACATTTATTGAAGAAGATGAAAGAAACATGTTTTCTCTCTTTAACACTTTGTCTATCAGAAATTGTATTTAACTGGTTTTGCTCACTCTTCTGCTTTATGCTGGTCAGGGTGAATCTTACTAACTAGAGAAACCAGTACCAGAATGCCACTGTCTCAAATTATATTGTTCCTCAACTTCCATTATTGATACACTTTTGGTTGATATGGCTGTGAACAAATAGTGAAAATATCAGCCAAATACAACTTCTACAATATAAGTGTGGAAGTCTGCAGAGACACTGGAACAACAACTTTGAGGAGTATGCACAGTTTCATTCAGCTCAATGAGGCATCAGTTCAGCTCCACACTGATATTTTCAATACCAACACTTACAAACAGTTTTATGTTTCACAGAAGAAATGAGAGGGAATATCACAGTGCAGCATTAATTTAATTGGCCTGACTTGGTGGCTGTTGGGAAGTATAACCAAATTCCACTTGTGAGTCAACCTGAAGGAGCCCAGGCATTCCTCTCTATGGTGCATCTACGCTATTTCTAACGTCTGTTCAGTGTAATAAGACAAGGCATTAGAGCAACAAAATGGTGAAACTTGTTTTCAGCGCTAAGCCACCAGCTTTAGTGTGGGAAAGCCAAGTAGCTAGTAGAGCAGACTTTTCTTTTGTACAACAGTAGTTTAAAAACAAAACAAAAAACAGATTGTAAAGCAACAAAAACCTTAAGAAATTGGAAAGGTTTTTGTTATATTGAACTGCTTAAGCTTGGAAGCTAGTGTTTTGTGTTCATGTGTTTGTTTTGATTTTTACAAGGCTCCTACTAGTTTAGTTGAACAGTTTCTAATTCTTGTTCTAGATGTGATGGTGAGCCACCCATCCTGTCTGTGCCCCTCATGATTTTCATGTCCTGTCTCAATGTTCCACTCCATCAGTCAATTATTTCTTTTTCCACGCTGAAGAGTCCTAGCCTACCTGAAATTTATCATATCGAAACTATCACACTTTATATTGTCGTTGCCCTTCTCTGAATCTTCTGAAGTTGTAAAATGAGTCATTAGGTTCTCTGACAGATACTGTTCCTATTTGGATTTGATAAAGCATTCTGCATATAAATTCTGTACAGACGAATTCTAGAAATATAGAATGCTATTGAATAATTTTATATAACCAGCACATTTACATCTTGTCATAAAATTCTCATGACATCACTGAAATATACAGTAGCTTTAATGCCACCTTCTGGGCAAAGATTTAAACTAGTAGTTTGGCCAGACTTAATTTGAAGTTATGCTTCAAAATCGGAACAATTAAGTTTCAAAGTTTGGAATGTTTATATTAACTTATTTATAAGCAAACACTTCAATTTATTGACTGAAATACTAGTTGTATGAGTTGAGATAGCGCTAGCATTTGAAAATATGGATTTGGTCCTGTATTCAAATATGGAAGAATATTGTTTTTCTATTTCAAAAGTGCAACATAATTTTCTTGAATATGAAAAATTTGAATTTGAAACTGATTATCAAGTTCAAGGTTAAATACTCAGAATTGAGGATTGCTACTTGTGGAAAAGTGTATGTATGTGTAAAACAATGCAGATAAATCTGTAGATAAGTTTTATTTTTAAGCTAAAGCTGATTCATGTACTCTCGCTTAACAGTTTTGCCATTCCAAGATGTATATGTTACGGCTCTTCCTTGTCTTGAAAGAGATTGCTCTTACGTGTTCCTTTTCAATCTACGCAAGTTAGATTTCTCTTGTACTTTTTAATACTAAGAAAATTACCATTATTGTCATCCTCCAAAGGTTTCTAGTAATTGTTCTATTCCTTATTCTGAAATATGAAGGTATGGATCACCTCAAGAACATAAACACGGTTTTATCAAATCAGCCCAACATTCCAGTAATGGTCAAATTGACACAAAGTGCACAGTGTATGCAAGGTATCTCTGTGTTTTGTTATCATCTAGATTATTAGTATGGTTTATAATATGATCTAAATAAATATCTGTTTGTAAATTCTGCTCAGGTGAATGGCTGGGTTAAGACAGTCCCTCTTCAAAAGGTTGACACTTCTGCACTGATTGTTTTTTTGCTCTGTTCAGGCAAGATGGAGGCTTCCAGTCACGTGGACACAATCTGTCTAACCCCTGCCCTAATAGTATGGGAATCATAATGATCAGTCATGAGAATCCTTGAGAAGGAAGGTCTTCAAGTATGAGCTATATTCCAGACTCTTTGTTTCATTTTCCATTTTGGCTTTTCTGTTGTTTTTTTCAGTGCTGGGATTGGACGGACAGGAGTTCTTATCACTATGGAGACCGCTATGTGTCTCATTGAGTGCAATCAGCCTGTTTATCCATTAGATATTGTGAGAACCATGAGAGATCAAAGAGCCATGATGATCCAAACACCTGTGAGTATCATATTTGCTGTTCTGTGTTGCAGAAGAATAATTTCCTATTATCTAATCATATCATTAGATGGATTGTTAATACACTCGCTGTTGATCATATTGGAAAGATGTTATCTTTACCCAGTGTCTTGTAGCCTTGGCGCCTGGCGGGAATGAATTGGTAAGGCTATTGGAAAAGAGCAATTCTTTAAATTTTTACAAAGAAAACTTGAAAAAAGCAGCAGCTGTTCCAGAGACACCTGACGATTAATGTCAAAAAGGGACAATTTTCAGTAGTGTTAAAATCACTCAGTAGAGAAAGCAGGAGCCTAATTCCAGGTGTTAAGGGTGGGAGCAGTATAAAAGGTAAACACAGAAAGATCCAAGACATGCAAGAAAAACCTTCATTGATGCAATTCAGTGATTTTTTTGTTGTTGTTGTTGCCTTAGTTATAATGAAAGGAAGCCTTGACTCTGTCCTGTAGTGACTCAATTAAAGGCAAATAATCAGAGAAATAGTATTTTTAAAAAACAGTGTAATTAATCTGATGTGAGATACAGCAAAGTAATTTTAAGTGTATTTAGTCTAAAAAAGTAACTTGCTACGAGGATTCTTTTGGTGCTCTCTTCACATTTGATGTATCTTCAGATGCTAGAATTTTTCCTGGATCTGTAATGTTGTTTGAGATAATGGCAATGTTGCTTTAACATATTCTATTTCAGAATTGTAAAAGTTTTAGAACAGATTTAGAAACTTTTTGTTTGTATCAGTCAGGTGTTGCAGTTTGTGTTTGTATTTTTAGAAAACACCTAAAAAGGGTCAAAAGATTGAGTTATCTTTAAAAAAAAAAAGAAAAAAAAAGGCTTGGACTCTTGCTTGTTCCAAGCTTTGACTACTCTTTGTTCCATGTTTTTTATTTTTTTTTAATCAGTAGTCAGTTATATAGTTGTATTCATAGTATATAGTGTTTAAATAGAAAGTATTTTGAAGGAGAAAAGGCACAAGATCCAGTATGAAATCTCTCCCACAGTTACCTGAAGGTAGTTACTGTAGTAACTTTGATGTCCGTGCTGCTGTTCCTCTAATCAAGTTTGAATAATGCATTCATCAGAGAGTATTCAGATGGACAAGAAGTATGTATGGGCCTCCATTTCTAGGTCATCTATCATTCAGTGCTGCTGTTCCAGTATTCATGTTCCATTAAAAAAAAAAGTTGTGTTATTCAGCTAGCACAGGAAGGATGAGGAAGATGATGATACATGAAAAATAATAAAGGATGGCTCTTGCTGTTTGTGATGACTATACAGTATGAATACCGTATCTCTCTAGCATATGTAGAGACGAAGAGAGGTTTATTAGTAAAGTTAAGAGGTGCAGTGATAAGAGTTTTAACTGTATTTTTTTCAAGGCACATGCTAAATATCCTCTTGTCATCTCATTTTTCTTAGAGAAACCAGAATTTTCAAGCTTCAGTGAAACGTAGGTCTTTACTGCATCAGAGGGAGAAGGGATAATAAAAGATTTCAGCGAGGTTTTAAGATTTCATAAACATTACCTATTATTTCTCCTTTTGGCACTCTTGTCCTCATTTGGTATATCCTGAAAGATTCACTTAGTGTCCACACGGTGGCCCTATGCATGGGTATCTGCTAAGAGTACTGTATGAGGAGAGTTCAGTCTCTTTCAGGGAGCACTGGAGGCAAATATGTATAAATTTAACTATTTTAATATACATGCAACAATACAGAAAATAATAATTCTATTACTAAATCTGTTACTGTGCCCATTTAAGATCTGGCATCACTGATTACTGCATAGAGGGATATTCCATGACACTGAAAGGGCAGGCATGCTGACTTTCTGACCAGCATCTACACCATTATGCAGTATTCAGCGTTAGTCACGACACTTTAAAAATTAAATTTTATTTAATTTTATTTTCATTATATTCTAATTTGATTACTGTTGGGTTTTTTAAGTAGTATTTGTTTAAAAAAAAATATTAGTGGCCTTTATGTGCGCAGGTGCTAGACTTGAATATATTGCAGAGTTGGGCATTGTATAATGTTAAGAAACTGGAGTTCTGGCCTTTTAAAACATGAAACAATTTTCTTTTTTATCAAATTCTGAGAGGGGTGCCAGTAACATGCCAGAATTAATAAAAGTATGAAAAAGTGCTTTGAAACCATAGCTTGTAAATCCAAGCGCATGGAAACCTCAGGTCAGTGAAACTTGAGAAAATTACTAAATAGGTGATGTTGCAATAATAGTACTGGTTTTGTGGGTATGACTTCTGGTATATATTTCAAAGTGCTGTTCATACCATTCTTCAAGATGTTCTAACATAAAGTTCCTGTTGTTTTGTGTTTCCTAAATTAGCTTGAAGCGCAGTTCTTGGCTTGTCAAGAGAATGGGATGGGCCTTTTCTGCTTCCACATGACATTGTTCAATTACGTTTCTTTTCAATTTACTGAATCTACTTTCTTTTTCAGAGTCAATACAGATTTGTATGTGAAGCTATTTTGAAGGTGTATGAAGAAGGATTTATTAAACCTTTACAACCATCATTGCATAAGTAAAGAGCAAAAAAACCTAGGATATCACCTGAGGAATCCTGTCCTCTATAATGAACTGGCAGCATTCTTTGTGCCGTAATACTGCTTGCAGGAAACTATAGTGAAGTACAGCAAAGAATTGACAAAGGACTTTGAAAACTTCAGCACTGTTGCACTTTACGTTGAAACAAAATCAGTCTCTGAAACTCTTCTAACCTTCATCTGTTTGAAGACTTTATTTTCGTGCTTTGCTCCGAACAAACCATAAACTGAAAGAACTAATTGTGTTCAGGGTAATCTACGATATTTCATTGTAGTGCCATATACTGCGCTTCTGGTTGAATTGCTACAAACAAGGCTTGGAATTATTTCACTCTATTTTACACCCATGTCTCTTAAAATGAAAAACAAATGAAAAAAATACACTAAGCCATGGTCTTTTTCCAGTGCTAAGTTTATTTACTATGTACAGACTCTCACTGTTTTGTTTTTTACAACATTAGCAATATTGCCAATACTAGATAGATACACACTGCCTACTGATGCAGCACACTTTGTTCTACACCCTTACTAGAGGCCAGCTGGTTGTTAGAAGAAAGCTGGCGTCTGTGTTAGCCCAGCAGTAGCTGCATAATGCCCACTTACCAGCATCTTGTACAAAACAGTAACAATAAAAATAAAAAAAAATAAACAGCATTTCTTTGACACAATTTTTGTGTCATACACTGGTGTATTCTGATTCGTGTGACTTAAGATTATGTGGTGGGAACTAGTGCATGCATTATGTCTTAACCCCTTAAGTGCCTTGAGACTTACAGCGTACATCCAGTGAAAGGCACTCATGATTCTGTGGGGGTGGTATTGTCCTGTCATATTTATCTTAATGGGTTCAGACTTTTAAAATGGCCCTTGGTGCTTGGAATATGTTACTGCAAGGGGTCATGGAAATACCATCCCCTCTTTCCTTATACAAGTACCCATGTGCTACTTGATAGCAAAAGCACCTCTGCCAACCTAATGAATGAGCATTGTATGCTGCTTTGTTGTAATTACGTGAAAAATCTGACACATTCCTTCATTCCTTCCAACTAGTAACTTACTAGCAGCTTACTATGAAATGCTGGTAGGTCATTAGAAGCTGATACTTTTACCCTTTCATTGAGAATAGCTGTCGTACTCGATTAGAACATAACTCTTTAATAGCACTGATAATTAAGTTGAACTTACAATCAGATGTGATTTAATTCCACTATCTGCTAACCAGTTACTTTTTAAATCCTCATAGTTGATTTCAAGCCATGTTCGTACAGGTCTGCCTTTTTTTTTTTTTTAATTGTTTGGGTGAGGGAGAAGGGAGAAGAACACTATGAAGTTGTCCCAAACTTTTATTTTAATTCCATAATGACCCAGTCACCTTCTGTTATGCTTGTGCAAAATTGTTTCAGTTCATATGGGTTGCTTCTTATTTAAGTAGGTAGAAGATTTGTAAGAAATGTCTGTCTGATACAGTATCTGAGCTCATTCTAAAGGTACATAAATGTCCCAGGTTTTTAGTACTTCTTCCAGTATAGGAGAAACCGAGTCAGAAGCAAGGTATCCGGTGTAATATACTGTAAGGAAAAAATAAGTCATTTCTTTGACTGCCCTGTGACAACATAACTTTATGCCCTCTATTTAAAAGTTTTAATTTATTGTATTGGTTTCCTGAAAATGTTTATCCATTAAATTTTGTTGTAAGCTATATAGAGCATAGAGTTAAAATGGAAAGTTCTACGCTAAATAATTTTTAACTATTGAAGAATTATATTATATAATGTACTGTGTTCTATGGACATTTGAAAGAGATCAGCTATGAACTATTCAGTGAAAAGAGATTCAGGCAAATGAAATCCTGGCTTATGACTTAGTAATAAACATGAACCACAATGCCAAATGGAAGATAGAGTTTTAAATATTTTTAGAAAACAAAATAATATTAGGTGGCCTGTGGCCCTGTTACTTATATTTCTAGATTTGATGCTTAAATCAATATTATCCCTCAGTGAAGAATGAATCTTACAAGAATCTCTGGATCTGATAAACTGAAAAAGAGTAATAAGGTAGCTTTAATCTCCATTTTATTTTAAGCCATTTGCAACAAAAGAAAATTCTTCTTTAGGGAAGTATAAGCTTTAACTTCCATGTGATGAAGTTATTAGCTGAGATGCTGGCTTCTTGGAAGGTTATTTTAAACTCAGCATTTAATGTCTAAAAATTGAAATAATTCATCCATCATATTGAAAATAAATTTTCTTCATAGTCAAGTTGTAAATGAAAATAGCATTTGCCCTTTTTTTTCTGAGGGAAATCAGAAATGGAGTTTATAGCAACATTTATATAGTGTTGGTATGTCACATATTTAAATATTCTTATGTAAAGTTGCCAAAGCAGTTTGAGTTCAAAAGACCCATTTATACCACAATTAAGTGTGGGATATTTATTGGTTGTCTGTCATTACTGTTTTGATTACAAAGACAGGCAAGAATAATAGGTCTCTCCAAAATCCTCCTCTGCACTGACTTAAGCTGATTTGTAGTGTATTAAGTAGTTACGCTGGGGAAAAAATTGGAACCAAGTAACTATTTTTAAATAATTGGCCATCAGTGACTCAGTGGCTTTTTGGCTTCTCCAAAGCCAGAACTGTGGTAACCAAAAACTGATTGGAAAGAGAATAGCATTGAAGCCTTTCTGCACTGTAAGTCATTTGTTCAAATGTTTCTACCTGTTGTGGTATAAATGGCCTTTAAAATATTTTTATATGGCCAAAAAAACTGCTTTACTTTGGGTTATGAAGATCTGTATCATCCTTAAGAGTTTTTAAAGAAGTTTTTGTATGTTTCATGCTGTACAAAACATGAATGTATCTTTCAGACATAATGACCTATAGACCTATACGTGATTGGTGTTATGACTGTTGGATTTTATGAATAATTATTTTCATACCATTTGATTAGGAAAAATGTTGGTTGGGTGGGACAGAGTATGTTTGTAACAATTCCATGATACAAATACAGTTTTAAAAAAAGAGTTTTCCTTGTAAATAAGAGCAATATTATGACAATTTTGTGCCAATGTATAATGTTAAGACTTTTGTTTTCCTGTTAGGTTTGGATTGAAAAGTACCACTACCATCTCTCGTTTAAAGTGGATTTGAAGGGGTTTTTTAGTAGAAAGATACGAGGCTCTAGCAGGGGCTTTGAGTATTTGGGGGGCTTTTTTTATTTTTGCTAAATATGACATAAGATGCAGATATTGTTTAATAAACCACCTACAGATTGTCAGCCAATCCACTTTGAGAAATACTGCTTTAGATATACCAGATATGAGAGCTAAAAAATTATCCTGAATTTGGAAGCATTCTGTATTTTACATAACTTGCAAGTCTTAAGTAGTGAAATATGCTTTTATGTGTTTTATATCTTCTCTCCCAGTTATGAAAAAGAGAAAGCCTGTGGGTTGCTTTTCCTGACCACATTTGATGCTTCCATGTTTCTCTGTTAAATCTGGAAAGCTTATGTCTCATTGATAAAGCAATAACGCTGCTTCTAGAATATCTGATTACAGTCTGGCACACCATCTATTAGAGAAAGGGTGAGAAAGCAGTTGGGAGATTAAGGAACATGAGGAGTTTATTATGGAATCCATGTAGCCGGCAAGTTTCCATGGAGACCTTCCAAAAAGCTTTGTGGTACGTATGGGAGGGCCAAAATGCAGCAGACCTGCTGCAGTTGCACTGCCCAGGGAGATGGGAAGTAGGGAAGGTCTGGCATAGAGATGCTGTGGCTCCAGGTATGCTGTGGAGCTGAATTACTTGATATTTTTATGCTTCTGCAGTGTGTGTGCAGGTGTGTGGGCGATGTTTGATGGCTCAGGGAATTAGCACGAGCGTGAAAAACTCTACAGATCCACCAATTTCCAAGTGAAGGCAGGTTGTCCGATATGTACGCGGTAGTTTTGACTGTAGAGCCACTATGCAGGCAATCTTCAAGACCCTCAGCCCTGAGGATAAAGGGAGGGATTGGATTATGGTCCAAATTAAAATTTTGCGTATTTGGATTTCCACAAAGCACTGGAATGGTGCCCTCTAATGTCACCTGTAGTTTTCTTGTAGCTCACATCTCAGGTCCCTGGTTAGCTGGGTGTATTTGCTAATTTAAGTACCTACCTTTTGTCTTAGAGACTGGAAAAGCTCTTTTTCCATTGCTACATTTAGTGCGAGGATCCAATGTCAAAATCTGGTAAAAACATATTCATTGGTTAGATGTGGATCTTGCATGAAACTGCAGGGATTACAATTAGTGGTGACTGGGAAGCTGTTACAGGGGAAAATGGTTTGTTTGCTTCAGTATAACTGTTCTGTTCAGTCTCTGTTGTCCCACTGCAGTTACAAATTGAAACTGATTTTTTTTTTTTTTTTTTCTGGTTTAGCAGTCTGCCAAGGAGGCCAGTTTGTTATCACTGGATTTTACCTCTGTGCTGGTTGGTACCACAAGCGTGTATTTTTTAAGTTCATAGGGCTTCTCCAGCTACAAGATTTTAACTGGTGCATAAGCTGTAAGCTCTGGCTACTGGCTCTGGCATGCTTTGCTCATTGGGAGCTCAATGGTAAAAATTTGAGATAAATCACTTTTTTAAAAAATGCTGAAATTTTTAATTAAAAAAATTTTGGACGTTTGAGTTCTTTGAACCAGTAGCCTCATTAAAAAGAAAACCCCACACTAAAATATCATTCTAGTCTACTATAGCATGAACTATAATTTCATGGACTGGCTGACAGTTTGTTGGTTGTGTTATTTCATATTTAGCAAGCTTACACATTTTAAAGGGTAATTTTTTTCAAAGTGTTTTGATGTTTGAATAGTAGCACTTTATCTCATGCTTACTACTGACTGAACTATTGGACAAAATAAATTGGGTTTGGAGAGAGATGCTTAATGGGTTTCTGTACAGAGATGGATTACACCCTGGTACGAATGCTTTCTATTGTTCCGACCATTTCTGGTTTATTGTTCATGTGTTTGTGCAGGAATTTCAGGAAGTAGATATTAATAAGATATTCATAATTCTATCATCTCAATTTTCCTGTCTTAAGAATATAAAGCTTACATTTGGAAAAAAAAGGAAAAAAAGGTGCAAATAGAAACTACAGGGTACTTGTAAATTTATCTCTCTGATCTCTGTCAGCTAGCTGCAGATTAGCTGTTTACTGTAAATGTTTCTGCTAAGCATTATTCTTAACATTAGATCATTTATGTGGAAATCAGTATTTTTTTTTTACTTATTTGAATTTTGGTAACTAAAGATAATGCACAACAAAGTTTAAAGAAGTTGTCACCCTTTTACACCTAGGCCAGGGGCCTAAGACATGAGTGAAAGGGTTAAACAGTTTACATTAAGCTGTTGTTTTCTTTAACTAGAATATATCCACAAAGACTAGACTACAAACGATGCAGTGCAATTATCTCAGTACATTGGGGCACCACAGTAACAACTCGTAATAATCTTACAGGAAAATTAGGGTAAGAAAAGTTTTTAATTTATCCAGTGTATCCAGATTTGTTTTCCCTTTGGTTTGGTTCGCTTACCAACCAGTGGTTTGTGATCCCATTTTAACCCGTCAATTTGGCAGGACTGTTTGTGTAAG